GCGGAACTGACTAAAAGATTTCTGTTTTTACTTATTCCCTTTAAGAGTTCATAATTTTAATTTCCCGCATTCAAATGCCTACCCTTCCCATTTGGGAACTTTTATTTTAAAACAGTAACTTGAGATTTGTTTAGCTTTGGGTGTGGCTGACATTTTTCCATTTTTTTTTTTTTTTAAATTGCACATTTTGTGGAAAGCCTTGCTCTGGAACGTCTGCTTTAAAAGTTGTAGCTGTTAAGTTAGTAAGTCAGAGCCTATTACATCTCCCTCAAATGAATGCTATTGCAAGTATTTATATAACTGCAGTCAAATGGCATGGGCAAATAGCAGGAAGTTTCCTAAGCTAAAAACATGCCTTTTGAAAAGACTGCAACTCATAAGGACAAGTTCAGTATAGCCTAGCAGCTCATTATCTTTAAAAAGAACGGCGTGAGAGTGAGGAGAATAATGCTGGCACCAGAACAAATGTTCACACCCATGACAAAATCAGAAGAGAGTCCTAATCAGCAGGTCATCTTCTAAGGGGAATAAAAGCTTTGAGGAAGTCGAGCCCTGCTTCTAGATTAAGTATGCTAAATGTGTAAGCATGGTTATACAACGCAGTTACCTACAATATAAAGAGACAATTGAATAATCCAGAAGGTTCCCTTCAGAGCTGTACTCCTACATAAAGCAGAAGCTTTGTTTGTTTGTACTAGGAGTGCACATAGTAGGAGTTTCAGAAGAAATCAACAAAATCAGACCTTGAGAAACATCTGGACTTCAAAAAAGAAGTCAGAAGGTAGTATTGCCAAAAGGGAAAGTTTTAAAAATGCAGTAATCTATGCTTTCACATTCAATTCACAAATGTTCTCAAGGTTCTTTTTTGCACTGTTCTAGCCAACTGTAGGTCTAGCTTGTAGATCAACTTAAAAACAATGAGTCCTCCTACCACTAACATGCATTACCACCTCTTTTTATATAAATGTGGCACATGCTTCAGTACGTACACCTTAGTACACGTCAGTACACCTAACACAGTATGGCAACTATCAAAAACACAATGCAACAAATTTTTGAAAACTACTCCATGTGTAACATTTGCTGTATACTTTGTAGCATTTGCTACATTTTCAAGTTTTCCTTCACATGTTCATTCCATATATGCACAGGTGACAGCACAAAAGGGAACAGCTGCATACCCTATAATCATAAAAGCATGCATACCTTGGAACATGCCCTTGTAATGTATCTGTCCACTTAAAGTTCTGAATATATCGCAACTTGCATTCTTGGGAAGAGCCATCCAGTGAAAGGATAAAACCTACGGAACAAGGAAAATAAAAAGTCCTGCCAGACAATATCAAAGAAAGGAATGGAAACTAGTAACAAATAAATGGGGATCAATGAGAATACAAATAAAGAAATGTTTCTTGTTGTACCACTCAAAAATCCAAGTTACTTTCTGGGACTTTTATTCCTCAGTATCTTGAGAGGAAGACTTGCAAAAAGACAAACTGGCTGTGATTAAAAACAAAGTGTGATTAAAAACGAAGTGTACCACTGTGGAGTGGTAGCCCAGCAGGCTTTTCCCTGACTATGGCAGGCCCCTTCCAATCCTAGCCACTCTACGATTTTAAGTCTTGATTGCTTAAGGAAAACCTTGCAGCTGTCTCCCTGTCTCATCTGGTGACTAGCTGGGAGTTTGACAGAGTTGGGTACAGGATGGCTGTGGCTGCTCACAAGGAGCGCCTGTCCCTGCTACTGTAACGATGATAGGGAAATTCCAGGGAAAGCTGCCTGGTCAACAGGAAGAAGAAAAAAGGCTTACACGCATGGACTCAGCTAGTCGTCAGGGCTACGCTACAGGAAATTGCTTCTGCATGTCCAGCTGCCCAGAAAGCAGCAGTCAGTAGGATGGAGCTCATGCTATGGAATGTTCAAATGTCAGCATATGCAAGGCTAAGAAAGATTTTTTCAGGGAGGAAGAAGACTGGTTTGGGCCTAGTCAGGTCTTACAGACTTCAAGAACTTGAGACTTGCAACACCATCTATTTGGGCTACAGTTTTCATTTCTGACACATTTATAAAACATTTATAAAGACAGAAAATACTTGTTTCTTTCACGTGCAAGAGATTTTAGTGACCAAACACAGTGCTTTCCTGAAGAAACTCTCCAACTCTTATCTGGAGTAACTTTGACTGTTATCTTATTTTTCTAAAATGTTTCATTAGCTTACACCCCTGCAAAGACTGAGGGAACTACATCAACTTGAGCTGCTTCACTTTCCGGACTGAAGGGTAACATATTTTTCATCAGTCATCTGATTCCTGTAAACCTGATCCTCAGTAACTTGTCCGAGCATCTGACTGCTACAGAGAGAGTCATAAAAATATCGTCAGAAGGAAGATTTCAAGGGAATGCTCCTGCACCTGCTGAAAATACAGATGCTACACTAATGAGAAACTGTATATACCCAAGCAGCAGAAGCGTAAACTTGCAGTAAGTTCTATTATCTAGTAATAGACAAACCAGGAGTTTACACTGAAGAGGGACTCCTAACAACTACGTAACAGATTCAGTTTATACCTGAGCAATTCACCACAATGGTAAGAGACAGTTCTCCTCCTCCAGCAAGGAGAATGAGGTTAAAAGCAAGAGGGCAAGACTGCCAACGCTTTCTGCTATCAGGTCACAAAGGACACTGAAACTTGCAGAAAGGGCCTCACAAGTGCCCATGACTGGTATCAAGCACAAAAGCCATGAAGATACCTGGCTTCCTGAGAACTGCAGAGCTTCTTACAATAAGGTTAGCTCAATGGACAATCTGAGAAGTGTCATTAAAACACAAACTATATACTTCTTGTTTTATTAGCAGTTTTGTGTGTTCTTACCTTGTAAGAGTGAGAAGTACAAATCAGTTGCGTTCTTCATCATTTCTGGATTACAACTCGAGTCTGTAAATAGCTCCAATAGTCGCGTTCGAGACAATCGCAGATCACTGTATGGGGTGGAGAAAAAGAAAAAAAATATAGAAAACCACTAAGTTTAACCTGAAAACACACCATTAAACTCACCCATGTCTACCACCACTCTTCTGGCTAAGGAAGCTAAGCATGCAATTTAGCTACCTTAACACAAGGAAAGCTGCTTTGAAAGAAAGATGCCAATCAATACAGAAAAATCTTCCTTTCACCTCTGGATACAAAAGGTAGATTTTCTTAGTTTAAAGTGTAAACCATTGTGGACAGATAGCAATGGGTAACCAGCACTTATTATTTTAGTTTGTGATAGAACTATAGATTAATAAATGTTCCCTTATCTCCAAGAGGCTGGGGGCAAGAGAAGGAAAGAAGCATTCTTCAACATTAGAATAGGACAAGCATATGAAGAGATAAGAATAGATCTACGAAAACTGAGATCTCTTCCCATTATATTCCTAGCTACAATCGAACATTCATGTCTTACTTAGGGAAATTACTTCAACCAATCTTTTGCAGAAGAATGCACAGTCATCAGAAAGACAATGAAATGCTCAGTCTTTTGCCTCTGAATTATTGTAATAGGTCTTGCTGCGTACTAAGAAACTTTAAAACTGGATAATTCATTCTTTGTAAGTAAATGTTTGGCGTTATCACTGTTTCATTGTCTCCCAGCCCACACATTTCTAGCTATCTTCAGAACAAAAACTGAAGAATAACCATCATTTTTCAAGAGGTCCTCCAAACTGCCAGAGACAGACTCAAGCTAATGACAGGCACACTTACTTGCAGATCTTTGATGCAGCTGGAGTGGTGGCTACCCCGTAAAAATTGAAGGGGACGGGAGCTGTAGCCTTCAAAGGGTTGCGATGGAACCAGTGAGTCATTTTCGCTCTGTAGTGTTGTTTGCGTCAAGTCTGAAGTGTGGAAAGAAGCGAGTGCCTGTAGAAACAGAGACAATTGGGTGCTCCTCAGCTGCACAAAAAAAAACACCACCAACAAAAAACACAACAACAAAATCCAAATGTAAACAATAGGAAAAGAAATGAATGTGAGCAGTTATATATATATAATTACACTAAAGAATGTTTTCCACTTGAAACACTAAGCTTTCATGGGCCTTGTCCTCATCATCCACATTAGTTTTAGAATTTCATTCTGTTAAAATACGTATTTTTTATGAGGTAACTATTTTAGGTGGGACAAAAAGCTCTGCCTTCTTTGTTCTATGTCCCTGCACACCTCCTTAATTAAAAAAAAAAAACTAAAAAGTGTTCTCTCTTGTGTAAGGCTGAATATTCCTATGTCATTTACAGGCATATCTCGGTTCATTACGATCATTACATTGTGTTTGATCGATGCGTTATTAGCCGTTATCGAGGCCTATTGATACCGATGAAGGTAATTGTGTAATAACCCTTAAAAAAAACCCTGGATGTGTTTACAACAGAGCTGGAGGTGTGGTGGAGCTCGGCCAGAAGGGCCTATCCTTCCTCCTCTCCTTCAGCTCCAGGACACATAGCTACGACGGGCACCCTGACGAGGGCTTTCCACAGGCTTCCCGCAGCGATGCCCGGCGAGAGGCCGGCGTACAACAAGCCCAGGAAGCCGTGCGGGCTGTACGGAGCCACAGCAGCAGCCTCCTCGCGGCGGGGACACACAAAGGCTGCCCGGGACAAAGCCCGGAGGGGCCCGGCCCGGCCGCGGAGGCTCTGTGAGGCGGGCAGGGGCCGGCCCGGGCGCCCTCCCCCGGCCGCAGCGAGGCCGCTGCGGGACCCAGCACCGCGCCCGGCCGCAGGCAGCGCCCGCGGAGCTCCGCTGCCCCCCTCCGCCCCTCCAGACCCCCCCATGGGCAGCGCTGCTCACCTGGGGGCCCTGCGGTGGCGGGGAGGAGCGGAGCGGAGCGGTCCCCGCCCGGGCTGGGGCTGGGGCTCGGTGACGGTGGCGGCCGGGGGCGGCGCTCCCCCAGCCGCGGGCGGGCGCTGCCGCCCCGGTAGCGATGTCGCGGGCGCGGCCGGCGCAGCCGCCCTCGCTGGGCGGCGCTGGCGGGAGGCGGCCGCCGCGTTTGGTTGTCGCCGCGGCGGGGCTGGGCCGGGCCGGGCCGTGCCGGGCTGGGCTGTGCCGTGCCGGCGGTGTCGGTGCCCAGTCCCGGTGCCCCGTCCCGGGGTGAGCATGGTGCCCTAGTGCTGGGGCTATGTCGGAGGCGGCCCGGAGCCTCCTGCAGCGCTGGGGCGCCAGCTTCAGGAAGGGCACCGACTTCGACTCCTGGGGGCAGCTGGTGGAGGCCATCGACGAGTACCAGATGTGAGTGCGGGCACGCAGCGCGCGGCTCCCCGCACAGGGGCCCCGGGCCGGGGCGGGGAGGGGCAGGTGGCCGCGGGGCCTAGGCCTGGTGCCCCGGGTCCCCCCCGCTCCGGGGCTGGCCCCGGTGCCGTTATGCAACGCGGGGGGGGGCGGAGCGGGGCGCCCCGGCACCGCCGGACCCCTCCCGGGGCTGTGTGAGGGGGCGCCCGGCCGCGGCCAGCCATGGCGCCCGGCCCGCCGGGACGCAGCCGGCAGCGCAGGGCGGCGCCGGGCGGGGACCCCCGGCGGCAGCGAGGGGCCCGGCGGGCTCGGAGTTTGTCCCGGGGGCTCCCAAGGCGGCTTGTGCGGGTGGGATTGTGCTGGGGGAGGGGGCAGGGGGCTCGCACTTGTTGCCCAGAGCGTCCCGGTGCTAACGGCTGAGGTGCCGTGAGGTACCGGCAGCCCTGAGGTACCGGCAGCCCTGAGGTGCCCGCAGCCCTGAGGTGCCCCGGCCTTGTCAGCTCGTGGTTAGGATGCTGTGGGTTCAGGGATCTGCAGTCCGCTGGTGGGATCCGTATCAGGGCCAGGCCATTACTGCAAACCTTGCCACGGGGATCTTCTCCAGATCCGTGTCTCAGGTGACAAAAACTTCCTTTGGAAAGTAAAGGAAGGAAAAACATCCCTCAAAAAGTTTGTGTCCTTATATGTGGGCACTTACAAGGAGCGGAGTAGGATCCTAATGCTTCAGACCACCTTGGCAGTGCCAGCAGTCACTTCCATTTGACAACTTTCCCTCAGAACGGAAAGCATAAAGGCTTCTCAGTCTGAGCCTGCTTCGCTAAGAAGAAGGGTCACTAAATGTCCGCAGGCAGCCCAGTTCAAGAGATGAAGCATGGCGTATATTGCCTGCCTCCCAGCATCACTCGTGGCTGATGAGAACTGAGGTGATCTCAGCGCCCTGGCTTTATTCTGGCTTTGTAGCAGTGTGAGATCTTTGTTAGAAAGCTCCTCTTGGTAGTCACACTGTAAGTTACTCTCGCAAGCTTGATCAGTGACTTTCTTCTGAACAGAGTAGTCAATAGATGAACTCTGCAGCTCCAGAGGAAGAAGAAAGGGGGGAGAAGATCAAAGGATTGCAGGGATTTCCTGGGAAGGAGCAGAACCTTTTCAGCGTGCAGTATCCACCTCCTTTAGGTACAGCAGGTGGATTCATGACCACTTGGATCTCTAGAGTAGAAGCTGCCAGCAAGCAGCACAGAGCAAGATACTTCCACATAGCTCTGGAGATATAACAGCATGGTTTTGTGCTGTCGCCTTTTCAAAGGGCAACCTGAGATGGGAGTAATGAGTGTGCTGGTGGGCTGGCTGGATGCTGCTGGTGTTGCCAAGGTCGGTACAGATCAGTGTAGGAAGGCTGGGCATAAACTGGTTATGATGAGCTCGCTGACACTGAAAAAGATCTTCCTGAGTTGCAGTTAGTCTCTTTCAGGGGTTTAATGGCTGCTGACTTAGAACACAGGCGTGGAACACTTGCCTCCCGTGTCCAGGGGGACCTACATCTGCTCAGGTCGATGATCTGGGAGGTTTGTTGCAAGTATCAGTCCTTGCTCATTTGGGTGCTTAATCCCATGAGAGCCCCCTGAGCCCCCAGCAGCATCTTCTGTGTCAAACACTCCAGTCTGTGGAACTTGGTCCGATCCAGCTTCGAACAAGCTTGAAGTGGGACACCAGATGCATTGATGTGGATTAGGGTGTGTGGTGTTTCTTTTTTTTTTTTCATTGGTGACAAATGGAAAGAGCATTGTGTCACTAGTGCTTGCAGAATTGTTCGTACTGTGATGCTGTCTGTTGTGGGTGGTGTATCGCTGCCATGGTGATGTGTTTTTCTTAAATTGTTGGTTTTAAATGCCCTATGTGGTGCACATACACAACTTGCTGTTTATCACCTGCGTTATACCGCCAGGGCAGCACCGAGGGACTGACTGTGTGTTTGGGTTCCAGCAGTGTTTGCGCTTTGTGACTTTACTCTGCCACCGTCTTTTCCCCATTACGAACAAAGGTTATGGCACTGAGCTGTGAAGTTACGTTGTCCCCTTTGACTGCTGCTTTGCTACTGCTAGCTGAAAGCTGCAGTAGCTTCAATCCTTGTGTCTTTTTAATAGGGCTTATTTTTAGGGAAACAGCAAAGAAATAGTTGAGGTCTGGTGTCTGTTCCTGCTGCAGGCTTTGGACAGCAGCCTCTTGTTGTGTACATGTCTGTTTTAACCTTCCCTCCCCACCCCCAAACTGACTGGTGCCCACCGCACCCATGGTGAGGAGCTGAATTCCCCTAATAGTATAGCAGTACAAGGTGGAAGTACACTGGGGTGTCCCAAATGCTGCTGTTTTGCCTGAGTTTTCCCCTCAACACCCCTCTGCACTGCCTTTAAATAAATATCTATGTATACATACGTATATTTTTGCAGAGAATGACAGCAATTGCTCAGTTTTGCTTGTTTAATTTTCCCCTTCCTCCCCAAACGGAAGCCGTGACTCTTCCCATAGATTCCCTCTCTGGCTTCCTTTCGCTTTCTCCAGCTGTTTGCTGACTGTTACTTCCCAAACCCCTCGGTACTCCGGTCTCTGTGCTGGTAACGGGTGGAGGCTGGGCACTGTGTATGATGCTGATGGGGGCAGATGGGAGCTAATGCACCCTGAGGGCAGCAGCCAAGGTGCCCCCGACTCTCGTGGTGGGAGGGTGTGTGGCCAGTACCTGGGGACCAGTTCTTTATGCCTACAGCCTCTTCTCCTGGCCATCAAATTCTCTATGAGAAACACGTGGGCTTGTTTTCATAAGCAGTATACTTTATGTAAAAAAAAAAACAAAACATGCAAAAAAGGGATGGAGAGAGGGAAAAAGGTCAGTGCTTATAAAAGGGGCTGTTGGTTAGAAGATCGTTCATACCTGTTCTTTCTTCATGACACATTATATATGTGGTCTTTCCTGCCTAATGTAGGTACTTACCGTGTCTGACTTGTGTTTTGTTTGTTTTGTTTTTCTGTATGGCCTGCCATACATGTGAAAAAGAAACCCTTTGGAGCAGCAGTCTGTGAACCTTTCTGCTGGCACACTTGCAGGAGATGGTGGTGGTGGTGGCGGCGGCAGGGTTCTGTGTTGTGTTGTGTTCTCACTCTTCGATTTTCTCCCCCTTTCCCCAGATTAGCGAGACATCTACAAAAGGAGGCACAGTCTCAGCACAACAACTCAGAATTCACAGAAGATCAAAAGGTAAGTGTTACCGTTTGCTCAGTCAAGGAACTTGAGTCAGGGGTGTTGATGTGGTGTATTGTTCTTTCTGTCTTGCAGACCAGAGCCTTATGACACCTTTTTTTCCTCCCATAATATGCAAAAACACAAGCAGAGCCCAGTGTGGCTGAAACAGTTGTTGTCATTAGATGTGACAGATGCCCTGCTGTGTAATACTGAAAGTCTCACGTGCCAGAGCCCTTCATAACCTGGGTGTTTCTTTTTGTGGGTGACCTTTTGATAACTTGCTTATAAAACATTAGCACAATTTATGTTGTGAAGCCTCAATACAAATTGTCTTGAGCCGCAGCCATCGAGGGTGTGTGCGGACAATCTTAGTTTAACATGTAACACCTGACTGGGAAGAGTCCTGGCAGAATACTCCCTACTAGTCTCAATGTTCCTTGTTTATAATCTTTCAAAATATTGAGCTGATTTTACTCCTTCCTCTCTCCTCTCGGATGAAAAGGCTGTTTCTTGTCTGAGCATCATATTGATGCAATTCGATGGCAGGATTTAACAAGAAAATGCTAGCTAAGGTCCAACAAACTCAAACATGTTCAGCAAAATAAAAGGAAATATTTTGGAATATGAGGTCTTGCTAAACTTTAGTACCTTGTATAAAACCATGTTTTTATTAGGAATACTGAATCAGAGAATGCCTGTATTCCCAGACTTCCAGATGATAAGATCACTTGTTTGTGCAACAGCATTGCCTGAGCAGTGACATTTCCTAGCCCAGAATCCAATGTATGGTTAAAGGGTGCTGGAGTAGTGGGATCTGTGCTTGGAAATGTTAGTCCTGACAACAGGTCTTGGCTACAGAAATTGGAGATGAACTTGATGTGTTTAAAAAAAAAACAAACACCACCTCATTTATCACAAAGAAATACAGCTTTACATAGAGTCTGTCAGTGGCTTATAAATGTTTCTTTGACATGTACCAATAAAAGAAAGCAAAGAGCTGGCCTCCATTTCTATTTACCTTCTGTGAAGAAGAGGATAAGGCTCATGATAGTCCTAAACTGAGTCAGAATCTTGGAGAAGGGTTGGAACCACCTTTCATGATCTGAAGGATCCTTGTTAACATTGGACAGATGTTTTTTCCTTTATCAGTTCTGCTCTGTATCCCTTGCTGGTATCTTTCTCTATTGCTCTCAGCTATAGTCGTCTTTACTGCATGTTTCCCCTTTACTACGTGTTTCCCCTCGGTGGTTGCTTTTGAAAATATGGTTATTTTGTGCAGGAGAAACTGTTAACACCACTTCAGAGGTACTATCTCCTGAGGGTATAGAGCCATAATGACACAGGACTTTGTTTCCAGATGTTCCCTGAGTTGTAGAGAAAGGACCTAATGGTGGAAATGAGTGAGATCAGCCACAAGGAAAGGCCTGAGAGGTTGAGGAGGCAGAGATAAATGACCTCAGATGCAAGTTGTACCACTGCAATCATGTTCTAAGGAAAGAGTCTTCCAAAAAGAAAAAATTAGGAGTGGCTGTTCTGAATCCTTGCACAATGATACCTGTATTTATCTCTCTGCTTTCCTCTCTTGTCATCAGCTGATACACTTGAATTTTGAGCTTTGTTCTCAAATTGTGATGCCTATTTCATTAGCAACATGCATGTAGCCAAGTTCTCCAACATTCTGTGTAGTCTTTCAGTAAGAACATTCTCTTTCGCTCCTCTATCACAAGTGATGCTAGTCACAACAAATGAGACGGCTGCCTTCTGCTTTCCTTTAGGTATTTCGTTGTCCTTTGGGCTCAATCATTTTAAGAATGGGTTTATTTTATTTTTAATAAAAAATTTATAGTAACAATTTTTAAATCACTTTAAAGTATTTAAAAATATTTACATTTTATATTTTTAGTTATTTGTATTTATTTATTTTTAATATTTATGCTATTGCTTTCAGTGAAACTCTGTACAGCAAAATCTTGTAGTCTGACAGCTCCTTGCTCTCCTGGTGTTCCCTATCTCTGCGGGAGCTTTGTTGGTATAACTTAGCGACTATGAGCAATTACTATCATCACTGCTACCATTCACTCAGTGTCTAGGAGTAGAGTTTAGCATGCTTCTAGGCTTTCGAGCAGCTTAATTAACTAGAAGTGTATCTTCTCTCTTGCCACCCCTCAAAAATGTCCATGGCTAAACAGCAAATTTTGCTGAAATGTTCCTGCTGAGGCATCCACCAGTGTGCTATTTCTTCTGGGTTTTGGAAAGTTTCTTTTATTCCCTAATATCTTGTCTTTTCCAGGTACTGTATATCATGTAAGAGCCCTGTATTTATCTGAATGCATATTTGTATTCACTTCAAGGTTTATCTATCTGATCTCACAAGCCCAGGCTGCAGATGGCATTTCATAGGTTGGAGAAGACGAGTTTGTGAAGCTAGTTATGACTTCCAGTTGCTTGGTCTACCCTCATTCCAACCTTTATGTGGATTTACAGCTAGGTGTTCTTTTAAAGGACTGTAAATATTGATGAGAATTCCTGTGAGATTGTTACTGTTTCTTGTTACACGTGAAGAAGATGGATTTCAGCAGTGATTCTTCTGTACAGGGGGAAAACTACTAGCTTTGCCACTACAAGGAAAGGGCATGACTAGGTTCAAATCCTCAGTCCTGTCTGTCTGTATAAACTTTTAACGTGTTTGGGTTTACTTCATGCATCACAGGTGGTGGTACAGTGCAGCTATGGCTATGTTGTAATTGATGGCATGTTACTTGCTAACGTGATCATTCAGTCTGGTAATCTAACAGCACTTGATAGATAGTACCAATTTATTTCTTAGATGTAGTGTGAGTCAGTTATTATTTACTTTACAGTAAATGTAGAATTTATGATAAGGATTTAGACATTTCAAGATTTGTACAGCTTGCCTTTTTGCTATCAATCCAGAATCTGTTTTGAATGATTCCATCGTCTTGCACCTTCATTTTGTTGAGGACTATAGAAAAATACAGTAAACAACAAATCATTGTGTTTAAATCTAGTTACTCTGCAACAGTTTTAAGGAGGCTGTGCAGCAATTTCATCACCTAGAAGCTGCGAATATGGGATATTAACATACTCTTACCGATGGACTTAACCTCAGTCTTAACATCTGCATCCTGCTGTTGTTTATTTTACCTTCATTCTCTAAAATGATGCCTTCACTCATGATTAATCACTGTGTTTTGCTACATGAGTTGATGCAGTTCGGTTTGGCCGTAGCTGTCAGCTTTTCTTCGGCTATAGCTATCGTCACCCAGTTCTCTGTGCAGTAAATTTGACCTTTAAAGCCCTCTGCTAACCGCAATTGTTGTTTCTTGTGTAGCTTTTTTTTTTTTTTCTTTTGTGCTAGGCTGGGTTTTGTGCAGTATTGGAAAATCATGCTTTTTGTGCAATGGTAACTTGCTGAAATACGAGCACTGTTGCACAGTCTTAGCATGATTCATTGAACTACTGGTCTCCTAACAGCCTAGACCTCTCTTTAAAGCCAAACTCTGCTCTGGCTCCGTATTTATGCAAACATCTTTGACTGCTTTACAGTTAGCACAGTCATTACTCACACAACTACACTGAAGAAACCTTGACTACGAGATCAACTGACATTTTCCTTTCTAATCACCAGTTTACATTAAACTGTTTCTTAACCACTTTAATCTAGCAAAATTAATTATGACTTCAGCCTTTCTAATGAGATGCAGAATGTTTTCTCTGCTGCAAAAATGAGCTTTTGCATGGGATAGTTGCAGCTGAAAATGATAGCAGTGTTTAGCTGCATTTTTAACTTTTGGGTTGGGTGTGGTTCCTTAAAAAAATAGTTATGAATAATGCCTGCTGGGAGCTTGCCATATTTCAATAGATTCCATATAAAACCTATTCTTTACTATTTTAAGACTCCCAAACTCTCTTCAATTAATCTGTTTCTAGGGATATTATTGCCCTTCAGCCCCCTGGAGCCAGAAGAAACACATTTTATACAGCTGTTTGTCCTGTCACGAGTTACCTAGTTCAGGCAGTTCTAAGAATATTGAGTTAAGAATCTGCAGGATTGGGAATGGTGCTGTTGCTGAGCTTATCAGTGAGCTAACTAACGAGGCTGGAGATGAGAAGTCTTTCTTGAGACCTAACTTATAGTGTGGGTTTCGTGGTCTGTGTACAAGATGGTGAGAAGGAGAGCAGTGTGAAAATCTATTCACAAGTTTTGATTCCATAGTGGGGCACTGAGACTGTGCTGACACCCTGCAAACTTACTCAAAGCTCTCCTTCTCTGGTGCATTTGGAAGGGGGTTTGATCTAACGTGGAACTGGCATGCTCTTTGCTCAGCCATGAACACTCGAGCCATAGGAACAGCTGGGTTTTTGCAAATCATGCAGTTGCAGGCAAGCCTCAGAGATTTCCCCTCCCTTCCCCAGGGAACTTCTTTGCATTCCTTTCTTTTATCCATTACTTCACACCTTCCTCTTTGAGATTGTACCTTTGCAACCATATCTTTCCAGATGTTCTCATATAAAAAGGAATTCCTTATGTTACACTGCAGCTGATGAGAAGGATGCAGTGTGTGCTCTGCCTAGGGACTGACAATCTGCTTCTGTAGTACTGCCTGATGTCCTCGCACCAAGCCTGAATATGTATGTACACCTACAAAAACAGTGTGTGGACATTCATATGTGCTCCTTTCCTTTTCAGAAATCTGTTTCCCTAATCTGTGCTGGAAACGCAGCTGTAAATCTCTGTTATGTGGCAGAATTTATTTCAGAGAGGTAAAAGTTTGTTGACTGAACCTAGGCTGTGGAATTAAGCTCCACAGAAATGATGAGCCATAATACTTCTACTTTGCCATGTTGCATGCAAGCATGCAGTCAGGTTGCCCAATGTTAAAATTCCCAAACAAGACACCACTGCATATCCTAGGCAGAGGAAAGAACAATGAATGCCCCATGCTAATAATGCATGTGTCACTCGCTGCTTTCCTGGAAGGTGCTCAAAAGAACTTTTAAAGATTCTGTTACAATGGGCAGTAACATAAACTGCAAGGATGTAAAGAGCGGATTAATGCTGTGTTGTAACAGAGCACTTAGAAGAGAGAACCAGCTGGGGAGAAATGGCTTTGGAAGCTTTGAGCCCGTGGTGGCTGACAAAAATCAGCTATCTGAGGCTTTTACACAGTCCGTCTGTTGGCTCTGCCCGTGAGGTAGTGATGTCCGATCTGCTTACAGATCAGCTCCTTTGCTCTTTCAGCATGGCATACAGCAAACAGACACTGGAGCTGCTTAGCTGTCAGCCCAGGGTACTGAGCTGGTGGTGGCTTAGGAGCAGATTTAGAAGCAGCTGATATCCCCCTGCAGAAGTCAGGGCAAAAGTAGCTGTGAAAGCATGCCCAGTTCTTGCCTGCTGCTCCAAGTCTCTTGTAGTCCTAAAACACATCCCTAAAACATAACCCTCCTTTAAAGGGAAGTTCTGGCTTCCGACTGATACCATATAACTTGCCAGATGCTCCTGCCCTTGAAGTTCTTTGCTACAGTTGTATTCTAGGAAATCTTTGCCCCCCTCCCCCCCCCCTTGCATCTAGCTTAAGGGGAGGACTATTTTTTGATACTGTCTGATTTAAAAGGAGAGAACGAGTCTCTCGTGCATATTTCAAGTTTTATCTTACTTCTGGGGGAAAACTTTGAAAATGAACTACTTTTCTTTATAGCTTCACTGTTGCTGTTTCTCTTGTCCTATAAATGTTCCACAGACTGTTTGGAATTGTATTTTATCTCTGCATATAGACTTAGTTTTTCTTCACTAAAGTCTTTTGGTTAACGAACAAACTTGTGTGGTCAAAAACAGTAAAATAAACCACGCAGGTGTGTCCATTTGATGCCAGTTACATTGTTTGAATTCCTCTTGATGTTTTTCATCTGCTAGTAATAGAAACAAATGTGACCGCTGCTCCTCAAGCTTCTTTTTTTTGTGAAGCATAAAAGCTTCAGTAGCACTGTCTTAAAAGTCAGACTGCTAGTGAAGGATGGTTATGAAGCTCTTTCTTTCCTTCTACATTTTAAAATAAAGATGAGAAATTACTTCACAGTTTTGCTCAGAGGTATTTTAGCTGGCAAGTTTGAATCCAAGAAAGTCTATTTCATGCTTCTGTCAGACTTTAAGTGTCTTAGCAAATTACAAAAACAAAAACTCAGAAACATACTCTACCTTTATACTTCATTTTGCACCAAAACCTGCAAAAGTGGACCATGCTTTTTCAGTGCTGAGATACTGAGCATTTGTAAACTCTGAGGGGGGCTGACTTGGTCTGTTGGGATTGTACCCTACAATTCCCTAAAAGGGAAAATTTTTACAAGAAGAATTAAAGAAGAATGTGAATATGGAAGAACACAATTTCAATATTTTCTTTCTTCTTTTCAGAAAACCATAGCTAAAATTGCAACATGCTTGGAACTGAGAAGTGCAGCTTTACAGGTATAGTTCTCTTTCCCATGTGATTTCATACTTTGGTGATAGGTAATTAATGCTGGTTTTAGACAGCTTTGTGTCTTCAGGCATAGCTAAAGCTTCTGGAAACAGAACGAACAGCTCCTTGAACATTTGGACTTTCCAGGTTGTCTACACGATGCCCCAGGTGATAAAACCTTTTCTGTTGAGTTAGTAAGTTGAATAGGCTTGCTCAGAGAAGCAGATGTGCTACTAGACAGAAGAAGCTTCATCATCAGGGTTGGTAGAGATGAGAATCACTGTGGTGAACTCTTAGGCTTAACAAAATACTGACATATCCTGTATACTGTAACTTCTGCTAGTGTTAACAATGCTGGAGTTATGCCTTGAACAATGTGGGCTCCTGTGGGAGCATCACTTTTGCAGTCTTAGAGGTGATATTACTTCAGAACAACTTGACTGGGAAAGAGTTAAAGTAAGTCCCTCTGTCCAAATGTTCCTGTGCATGGTAAGTATGAAAAATCAACTAGCTCATTTAAATCTTTTTATCTTGTATTAGAACTTGGAACATGGGATACGGTTTTGTTGATAAATGAGGAGTAGCTAACTTTCTGCCTCATCTGTGAACCTAGCCTCAGTCAGGGAGGTTTTGTTTGGTTGTTTCGTTGTTGTTGTAGTTTGCTTTGTTTTTTTAAGACGTAGCTTTGAAGTAACTTGGTATGCTTGAATAAAGGGAACAGCTTGCATGCTTATTATGAGATGTGATAGCTTTGTCTGAGGGGAAAGGGCATACCCAGATTTAACACTCTCTTTGTAATGTCCTAGTCCACCCAGTCGCAGGATGAATTTAAGCTTGAGGATCTGAAGAAGTTGGAACCAAGTAAGTAGTATCTTTGTATTTCAAGTGAGTGACATTCACCAGTGGAAAATATGACAGCGGGATGAATACTGACTGACCACAGTGTGGTTTGACAGTAATGTTGTTTTTAGATAGTTCTTCCAAGTATCTGTTACCACATAGGCAGAATTTGATGTGTATTAAGGAATTTAATGTGGGTACCTTCAAAGTATAGTAGCCCTAATGTTTCAGATAATGTATTAGTCTTTTTGTCTCAAGTAATTCTTTGGGTACTGCTGACTCCACACAGAATCATAATTTAGGCTATCAGTTGTGCTTTATGTAATCAGATGGAAAATTTACCTGCACATAACTTACTTGAACTGAATTTCAACACTCTGTGGTCTTCCAACTTACAGTATTGAATGTATTTTTCTTCCGAAAATATTTAACTTGTACTCATGGTAGTCGATCCCCTGCCACTTAACACAGTAATGTTATGAGGCTAACAAAATTAGGAGTCAAAGTGAGGATGAGAGTCAGTCTTTGAAGCGTTTCATGTTGTGGCTGTTTTTTTCAATCTGATCCTGGGTCAATTTTTGGTATGTCAATCCAGAAGTAACTTTTTCATGTAGGAAATATCTGTTTATCTGCTATGTTTTCCTTACAGTAACACTGGTTGCTTTTTTTGCAAAGTATCCTTATGATCAGAGCTTCCACATCTAAGCAGTGTCATCCTGGATACTGACATTTGTTGTTCTTGGGGAACAGGAGACGTGGAAGAGTTTCTTTCATGATGGGAAAAAAAGGGGGTTATTTTGCTCTTTTCACAACGGTATCATTTAGGGAGATGTTGGGGATAAAAATGATGTGCAGGCAGTGTTGCCACTTGATGAATAAGCAGTTTCTCTGTTCCCATTCTCTAAGTAACTAACACAGCATCCTACAGAGAAGGTTGTGGAGAAGCAGGACATTGAACTGAGAGGTTCCTAAGGTCTGTACAAAAATATTGAGTCCAGATGCTTTTAAACTGTTCCCAGAAAAAAAGAAAGTGGAGGTACGCTACAGGACTGCTAGGTCCATGAAAACCATAAACTCAGGAAAGTCTTAACCATGTGTTAAAAGTATGAGTTTTTTCTCACTCTGTATATTGCATGTTTTGCCTCTGCATCGTCTGATTTGGGATTATTTCATAGGTACACATTCTGTTTACGAAGTATTTTAATTGGTGAAGTAGTTTAATGACTGTAGATCTTAGACTCCATTAGGTAAATGGCCTTTGAGTGACTAAATGATGGAAGAAGACTCATTTACAAATCCAAGGAAATGAATATTGAAGGGTAAAGCTTCCCTTGAAATGCCTCCTTTTCTTAAAAGCCAGTATTTCAGTTACAGTGCAACAGTCCCCTTCCTCAGAGAATTGATTTCTAGCTGTCAAAAAAATGTTCACCAGCATGAAGTGCATTCAACCCGCGCTTCATGCAACAAGCGACTATATTAAAACTGAAGAAGAGTGTGTGGCCATCAGTCTTCAAAGACACTGAGTTATTTTCCTTGGAGGAGAACGGGTGCTTCTGCAACAACAATTCACCATTGATGTCCTTGATGTTGCTCTCTGGCTTGGATTGTTCTTTCCTTCTGAATTGTGCCTTTGTTTTATGGTTTATAAGTATATCTTGAACAGGGTAAATCTTAATCAGGCCAACACAAGTCATTTCAAAAAACACCCCGTGAAGTGTTTTAATTTTTCTGTTGTCATTTTTTTCTTACATTCCAGAAGAAAAAGCTTTTTTTAATAAAAATAAAAGGACTGGCAATGCAAATAAGCAATTCCTTTGTTAGGTCAAAACGTTTTGTTAGGGTGGAATGAAAACAGCTATTCATACAATTTCAGTTGATTTAATTACTTTTGTGCCTGAAGTGGTCAAAATGGCTGAGAAATTTATTTTTGGTGTTGTTCTAACAACCAGGGCCCTTAGATTTACTTTTTTTTTTTCCCTGTGTTGTCAGGTTCTAACTTTTCTTAATTGTTAAGGTTGCATTTTGCACTGAAGCTGTTGGCTGGCTTTGTTTGTAGGATTTGTCACTGAATCTCTTGTGCTAGGATAATGCTACCGGAGAGTCCATACATACAAACAGTTCTTTTGAGATTATGCTGTGTGAAATCATTGCCCACATGCTGCATCTTGCAGATCTTTTTCTTGTTAAGGCTTATGCCAGTGTTATAACATACTTTAGAATTAGGCAGGCTGTGTGCCAGTACTGGCATCTGTGTGTAAATGAGATGAAGTGGATCCAGAAATGCTCTAGCTGAAAACCATGTGTTTTGGTGGGTCAGTTCGGTGACCTCCTTGGGCATGAGAGTAACACTGGCAAGAAGGTGTATTTGGGAAGGCGCAGAACAGTCTTTAAAAAAGATTTCTGTTGTAAAAGCAGCATAAATACAAGGCACGTTGCTGGGGATCTGCCCTTTAGTTACACAAACTGCGAGCTTTCTGTGAATCATTTTCTAAGCAGCAGCATTACAGAGGGGAAGTCCTCTTTACTCCAGAAGACATGCACACTTGAAAATAAATAAATAAATAAAAGTAGCTCTGAAGTGTGAGTGTCTTATGCAGTGTTGCAAAGGAGATTCCTACTCGTTATAACCTAATATATTTCCTGTTATCTGATTACTTTGATTTAAATCAACTGAAACTGTAGCTTTTGAGAGGTGTAAAGAGGATTTTCCTATTCCTCGAAGGGTGGATGTTGCATTGCTTCTGCATATTTCATCAGACTGAGAGCTGCAGATCCGGTTCTTATCCTGATGATGTGTTTAAAGGGGTGTGTGTAGTAAATCGCAGTATTGTGACTTTGCAAAATGACTTGCTATCAGTGGTTAGACAGAGTTGAATGCATTCTAAAAACTTGATCCTCAGTGCTCTGCTGCAAAAAGGCAAGAGATTTTGGGTGGTATTGCCAGAAGTGTTTCTGATCTGAACACTTAACATCATTTTTGTTAATACTGTCTCCAGGAATTTGGAAAGCACTGAACTGCCAGAAGCAGGTTTGATGCCAACACATGTGTAGGTGCAGCTCTGCGGTAGGAGTGTGTATGCCTACCTGTGCATTGCAGGTGCTGTAAAGCTGTTCACCTTTTTCTCATGGTGCTCATATTGCTGGAGTACTTTGTGCCCTCTAGTGATAACTGAGATTATTTCTGAGAAAGCTTTTTTAGGGGATGTTCATTTGTGTCGTGGGAGAAGCCAGTTACGGGAAGAGGGCAGAACCTAGTGCATACCAAACTTTGGAAGAGGGAAGGAGAACTACTGCAATTTCTGTCACTTCTGTATGCCGTGCCTCTGAGCTGTATGAGATATTACTTTACTGACGTTTTTCTATTTGGGGCAGTTTCGCTTTCTGTCTTGGTATGATAGAGCTTTCCAAGAGCAGGGGAATTCAGAGGGAGATAAAATCCCTTCTTTTCCTGAACCTGAGCTGTGCTGGGAGGCTGTTGTCTGCTGATAATCAGCCACTTTCCTGTTGGGAAGCGGCTGCGATTCTTTGCCACCCTGTTGAGATCTGCCTTGCTGATCCCTCAGGGCAGACGCCTTGAGAGAAGGAGAGACTTGGTGTCAGTTTTGTCTGTCACACATCTGACAGCAGACAACTTAAAGCTCTCTCTGTATGTATGTATTGGGTCCCCCTAGAATCAGATAGCATCCACCTTCTCAGGTCATGGTAAAGAAATCAGAAAAAAATGATGAGCAAAGACTGGGAAGGTTTTTTGTTTGTCTCTGTATAGTTTACTGAGGGGTTCTTTATTCACGGTAGTGTTTGGATGTCTGGTAGCTAACGATGGAGCCCACACGGAGTGATGTGACTATGAAGAAAGACAGAGAAGCTCTCCTGCTATACTGGCTGAGTTATAACACACAGAGACAGAAAGGGCCTAGCAGTGGTTCTTTAAACATAGCTGGTGTTTAAGTACGTCTGGGATTTTGTGTTATGTTAGCACTGCTTTAACACAGTTTTGTTCTCCTCCAAAAGTTCCAAGGGGAGATTTCAAAAATGTGCTTTGAGAGGGCTTACTGCAAAGTGAGACCAGTGAGAGGACTTGTTCTTAATACCTCCTGTCTCCCCTGCCCAGGCCAGGATCCTCATTTTCTGATAGGGGACTGCCTCTCTCTGCAAGCTTTCTTCTCTTTTTAGGCCTTTTAGCCATTGTGAAATGCTTATTTCATTTATACACTTTTGGAAATACAACTTTTACTAGTTAATGCTTTCAGAAATAAAAGCTAAAGTTGTGATTATTAAAATTTGAGTAAGGTCCTAATACAAATGGCAAAGCTGTGGTATTACAGTGAATGTTGGAAGGTATAGCCAACGTTTCTGGATCTAATGCTCAGATATTGCTCTGTGTCTCTTTTGAACTTTGCAAATCTACCCTCCACATGCAGGAGGAAGTAGGAAATCTCAACTAAGTTGTGTTACCAGCATTCTTGGACTCCCACGGTGGCTCTCTGAATGTGCAGGGTAGGTACATGTATGCTTAAGCATGTCAGTTCTGGAGACTTCAGACTGTTTGGAGCCGATTCCAGTAACAACATCACCCTTGCTTCAATAGCTACCCAAGATTGCTACCATTACCTCAGGGGCCTGTAGCTTTTCCTCATGGTGCTTTTAGTTCTTGCTATGTTTATCTTCCCTGCCTGTATAAATGTGGTGATTAAGTACTGCAGTCACAGTTACCCAGTATGAAAGTTGTAGTGATATGACTCATCAGGTCTGTATTGATGTTTAAAGTATGAGAATTTTTTTTTTTTGGCCATGATCTGATCCTTTTAAAATTGTATTTATTTTGTGAAGTTGCAATGAGGATGGACCTAGTTGTGCAAAGTAGTAGAATTAATACTTATTCAGGAAAATAGATTCTTACTGTTTTTTTTCTCTGCAGTCTTAAAGAATATCCTCACTTACAATAAGGAGTTCCCCTTTGATGTTCAGCCTGTCCCACTCAGGTAAGGGAGAGAACTGTGTCACTGTGTGTTACGCATAGGTATCTGAACGGGCATGGTCTGGGAACTGCTGTATATGAGACACACGAGAACTTCTAGAGCCATTGCTTTAGGTAAACTGGTTAAAAAGAACTTCTGAATTCAGGTTTTCTAGGTACTACTAAAACCAAAGCCCTTGCTTTTGGTAAAATCAGTATTTGGTAGGCCCTACATCTCTGTGGAATTGTCAGTATTTTCTCTTGTTTTTAGACGTTGTGCTTTATGTGTAGCAGAAAGCTTTCTACAGCAGTTAGCTAAGCTTTCTACAGTAGTAGCTAACGAGAAAAGTGAAATGACATTAAAGTGTGTGCTCTTGTTCTATACTCAGTTGCTGATGTGCAAGTTGAAAGCGAGATGATGAGTGATCTTTGGTCTCACTCTTTTTTCATATTTCACAGGAAGATTTTAGCACCAGGAGAAGAGGAACACTTGGAGTTTGAGGAAGATGATGAGGAAGGAGGAGCTGGAGCAGGGTCTCCAGACTCGTTTCCTGCTAGAGTTCCAGGTAGGGGCACCAGCTTTGCCGTACCAACCTATACAGCATGTGTAAGTTCTGTCTCTTTCTCCACCTGTGATTTTAAAAGTTTGGATGAGGAGCACCAGGCTGTATTGGAAACTCTAGTGGTGTATTGGAAAACCACAAAAGTGACCTGTGGACTTTTTTCCTCAGCAAACTATCTTCTATTCCAAATAGTTGTACCCATAATCTGTGAGGTGGTACCAGCAACTTCATATAATTTGTGCATTCCATGCACTTTCTTAACCGTATTATGTGAAGTGTTCCAAATACATACAGGTAGAAACTGTGGCAATGTTTGCTCCTTCAAGGAGCATCACATCCTGCTAGAGATGTGGGGAGTTGTTGCTGGTTAGTTTTCTGTTATGTCATCTGGTGAGACAATAGCTTGGACTAAAGTCAAGCTTGGGGAGGAGAAAGAAGCGTAGCTTTGGCTTGCTAACTTTAGTGCTTGTCCACACAAAGGCTTTTTATAAGTGGATATACCTACTGATTCTGGAGAAGGTCGTCTTGGAGCCTCAACTTTTGACAATTTAATAGGTGAAGAAGTAGAAAGTTACAACAAAAGTTTTGTTGTTGCTGTTGTTTTTTGTTATTATTTTGTTTTGTTCCTGATGTTTATTTGCAGTAAAAACAAGTTTCTGGTTTCAGAGCAGGCCAGCAACCTTCTTATTTCAAGAAGGAGATAACAACTAGGGAAACTAGAACTGGAATTATGGTTGAAAGAAATAGTATAACACCTATTGGAAAATTCACTTAAGGCTTCCTCTGAGTATGTGTTTGTGTGAATGTCAAACTCTAAAGTCTTTTTGATTATGTTAATGTGCATAATTCCATTTTTTTCCTGCATGGTATTAAGTATTAATTTTTTTTTCTTTGACAACTCTAGGTAGGTAGATAGATGTCAAGTTCAAGGAAAAGGGAGATGCATACTTCTGGTTCTGGTTCTTTTTCTGTACTTTTCAGCACACTGGTTATTTAAGGTGTAAGCTGGGGGAAAAGTGAGAGATATCTTGAGTAGCTCGTGATATGCCTGTGAATCAATCAGGTTGTGACTATTACCATAGTTACCTCTGTGCACCCTGTTGGCACTGTATGCATATAATGGACGTAGAAATGGTGTGTGTGCTTAAGAAAGAATTCTTTCTAAGCTGACTGTAGGCAGATTTTGTCTACAGTTAAATTATTCTCAAAAAGTAGGGTAACTAAATCTGAAAGAAGGGAGGTTTGAAGTATATATTTTCTCACAGAACTATTCCTTGGTAAAACCATGCTTTTAAGAAGAGTTGCTCACACCTCTTCTTACTGATGTTTTACATTGTCATCTACTTCATGAACTGTCTGTCTGACTTCTCTGAACCTTTTTGCATTAAGGTAAACCTCCCTGTAGCTATGATAATCTGAACCCCTAGGGTGTTTCTGTATGAGTTGAAAGCAGATCTTGTTTCCCTGTTGAATGTAAATTTGTGTGGCATTTCTGACCTTATGGGATGTTAGTTGGTTGCTCTTTCGGTGGATGACGAGGTTTAAGCGAAAGCAACTTGCAGCCATCTGAGGTGAGCCTGGTAAATGGACTTTCCATATCGATTTGAGAGAAGTGTTGCACTCTTTGCTTCAATATGCCTTTAATCCGTAGTGCATAACTGTTGTCTAACTGACCATTGTCTTGTCTTCTACATGCATGGCTTCATCGTTATCACATTGCACCATTCATCTAACCCAGGAGCCAATGAAGGTATGATGATAACATTTTAGTACATACTGTTATTTCTCTGATCACGGTCATGTAGCTGTAATGTTTGTCATTCAGCTGTTGCTTCCAAAGCTCAAAATACAGCCTTCAGTAACACGGCACTAGGCATCTAGGTGTTGGTTTTATCTCCCTTCAGTTGCAGGAAAAGGGAAACTCTTATTTGGTGACATATGTTACATTGCTCTCCAGAAGTCTTAATGTGCTAATAAAGATGTGCTGACTTGTAGAGTAGCCAAAGCAGGGGTAGCTAGATTTTCTTCAGTGGAATAAGCATTCGATGAGAAATCTTACATTTAAAAAAAAAAAAAAAAAAGTAGACGTAGTTACACTTCTGTTCTGTGTGAAGATGAATTGACCAGGGTCTTGCTGTCCCTGCCAGCTGAGGTTTCCCATCTGCCTTTCTCCTGGTTATATGCTACTTTATTCCACTGCTGTGCTGACAAGAGATTCTTCTGTGGTCCATTTCTGTTTGTGAACCCAGCAGGAGACCCGTCACCTTTTCCCCTTTCTCTGAACTGGGGGCTGGGTCTGGAGAGACCGGGCACCTCTGTCTTGCTGGCAGTGAGCTATTAGGTTGGCTCACCTTCATGCATCTGAAACATACCTGTAGGAGGACACTAACAACAGATAATAAAATAACATGTAGATGCTCTCTTCCCTCTCTGGCGATGACTTCCTGCAGTTGTGCTGGAAATGGCTGGTACTATCCTCATGGAAAACCTCAGAATTAGCCTGCTGAAGACTTACGGGCTCAAGCTGTGGCAGAAGACTGGCAGTGTGATGGGTGATTGTGGCTCATGTGGGACAGGTTATAGTCAGCTGCTTTAGCCCATTGCTGGTTTAGATGTGACTCTAGCTGAGGCAGCAAGGAGAACACATTCCTTAAGGACCTTCTATCACAATGTGCCCTTACCTGCTGGAAGTGGGCTTGACTTTTTGTTCATTGCAATTCTGGAATTTCATACATTCTGGAAAGCATTTTTCAAGAACAGAAGAAGTTTTCTCAAACCAGAATTTTTATAGTTAGTACCAGAGTCTGATGCATCTCATAGATGATTTTGGTGTGTCAATTATCCCGTCACTTAGCATATTTCAGAGATGGATAGGAAAACTGGAAGTTACAGTTCGTGGCTCTTGGCAGGGCATGCTGCTTTTTGGAGACAACTGAAAGGCGGTAGACCAAAGTTTTGTGCTGAAGAGAAGGCCCTTATCTGCCTTCCATTAGATTGTAATAAAAACTTTGGCTTTTAACAGCTGTTCAAGTGATATAGCAAGATGAACTAGATTGTGTATGCTTCTTGGCAGAAAGGGATGCTGTCGAATAAATTCACTTTTCAAGATATCATATACTACGGTCAGAAGTCTGTCCCGTTACTTTAGAAGAGTGGGTCAAATTCGGCCATGATGTGTTGTAAAGTGTCCACAGAGGTGGTACCTTGGAGGTCATGGCTCTGCTGGTAGCCAAGGCAGGGAGTTACAGATACGTGGTGTCTCACAGATGGGAATTCAGACCTTGATGGTGGTCCTGAATGGGGGACTTAGTGCAGAAGTGCTCATAAGATCTTGCTGAGGCTGTAGTGCTAGAACTGGATACACTGCTCCCTCCTTTAAAGCTAGTCCCTCTAATGTGATGAAAACTCCTCAGTTCTCCAGCTCTTCAAGCCTTGATCGGGGGAAAAAAAAGGATCAAAGAAAACCCAGATTGGACTTGCCAAAGGAAACTATTACTTTGTTTAGATCTCAAGCCTTGGGATAACATTTTATTTTTTAATTAGAAAAACAAAACTTTAAATTAAACTTGCTCATGAGTCTGAGCATTTCTTGTCTTGGTGCTTATTCATCTAGTACCAGAGACAGGCCTGAAGCCTGTCAGTTTTCTTTAAAATCCACATGAAGAAGCTGTCCGTCTACTGATTACAGAATCTCTTTATTTTTATTTTTTTTTTACAGCTTTTAGTAAGTTTGGGTAATTTTGTTTTCTTGTCATTTCCATTGTCTTCCTCAACTCTACAAGGATTCTGCTACATCGTCCACAGTGTGTGACCACAAAGATTACCTGATCCTAAATTTTCTTGATGAAGAGCTAGGAACTACTTCCTTAATGCATCAGGAAACTTGAGGGATTCAAACACTTTTTTTTTACTCCTCTGTTTAAGTACAGATCAATACAACTTGGATAATTAAGAATGTCTCTTTTGATTCCCTTGCACCCAGTGGGATTCGCAACAATGCCATTTTCTTCCTTGTTCTCCCAGACTAAATGTTCAGCATGAAGCCAAGTCATGTTCAGTGGGGTGGGTACTCTTGATTATGTGTCTGAACTTCCTGCAGCTGCAGATTGAATCCAGCTTCCCAAATTTAATCCTGAAAAACTATATAAATTGAATTCCATGCATGAGTTACTCTGCATGAGAGCAAGAAGGAACACTTTAAACAAAGCTTTTCTCTGTTCTTAGGACATTTTTTTAGTTTTTGTTTTGTTTTACAAATTCATTTAACCTGAGGCAGTCCTGATTTTTTTTGGTTTGCTTGTTTGCTTTTTTGATGTGGACTTAGAAATATGTCATTTAATGTGTAGACACACACTGTGTGCTGGTGGGATAAGAAACCTTGGGCTTGGCACTCCTATTGGAAAACAGCCTCTTCCATGAGAGGTGATGGGGTGAGCAAGGCCTCTACTGTAAAATGACTCAAAGGATTAATGATGTGCTTTACTCTTTTCAGGTACTTTATTACCCAGATTGCCATCTGAACCCGGGATGACATTACTCACCATCAACATAGAGAAAATTGGTCTGAAAGATGCTGGGCAGTGCATTGATCCTTACATCACAGTCAGTGTAAAGGGTAATGATTTCTGTTCCTGGCTCCTCGTTTCTAGTTTGCAGAAAGTATTTTCTGAAAGTAGCATTTCTTATTTATTCAACCTGCAGGGAGAAGTGTTTGTTTGGGCTTGCATTTATTGTTGTGGTCTTAAGGCTTCTGCTTTTTTGAGGGTGGAAAAATCCTGTATTTGGGAGATACTGGGAGGTGAACCACTGCAGGAGAAGCGCTCAGCTGTGCCTTCCCCAAGCTGGCGGACGAGTATTAGTGACTTGGCAGACTGTACTTCTCTATTTCACTTTCGTTAGCTGACTCTTAAGTACAGATCTGTTTGGACTGCTTGTACTCCCCAGCGCATATTGGTCTCTGGGCTTCCTGGAGACAGCAAACCACAGCCCACTGGCTCCATTCTTGCCCTATCATTAGGCCAACTTTTTAGTAAAACAAAGATCTTCTTACCAAAAGGAATGGGTATGAAGTTGAGAAGCAAAGCTTTAAAGTGCCAGCCTTGGCACCGAAATATTTCAGCCCATGTGTTGGGCTAACTGTCCCCTCCTCAAGAGTCTCCATGAGTCTGGAAGAACCTGTGTCTCTGTCAGCTGCGGATATGTGAGGTGAGGTTTTCTCACTGTTTCAGATAACAACGTGGTTGATGGCTTTTGCTTGAGGCTGAGATTTTTGGTATTCAGTCTTTCTGGCAGGAGCATCTGTCTTGTCCCCTTTTCTTAGAAGGAAGCCACTGTAGTCAGAGTTGCGTACCTTTACCCATCCTGCTTGACTTGTGCTCATCTTTACAATCTTTTGAGGCGTATGACTTTTCTTTATCAGATAAAAACTTGCAGCTGAGCTCTGTTCTGTTGGTGGCAGCCTCTATTCAGTTGTGACAGTGACCTTCTCTATATCCTCTTTCGACGTGCTATTAGTCCCAAGTGTAGGGATGCGATGCCTGCGTTACCAGGCTGCTTCACCTGCTGGATAAGTTCTGTGTCAGAAGTGGGGGTCACGGCGCTGAATCCCTGAGATGTTCTCAGATGTTACCTGCCAGCGTACATACACAGGGAGCCTTACCTAATCCTGCTTCCTGGGATCATTTTTCAGCAGTGAAGCTGGAGCATGACTCTGGCCTTCCTCAGCTGATACAACTGCCTTTTTGTGTTCTCAGTCTTAGAAATGCACAGTATTTGTGTTTATGGTGTTGCCTTAAGTTTGCAGCATTATTTTTAGCTTATGTAACTATTTGTCAGGCTCCGTTTCTCTAGTCACTTTTGGATCTTTCTTTGCCTCCGCTATGCCAGAAAGCTGAGGGACGGGTGACTTCAGTGGTGAGGCTAGCTGGATGGATGTGGGTTTAATCAAACTTAATTCTTTCATGCTGAGTTTTTCTTGGCCAACAGGGAAATACCAGTGCTAACAGGGTTCTAACGTTGGATCCTGGAACTTATCAGAATTTGTAAAGCAAACATTCGTTGTTCCTTTCCACCAAAGTGTTTGTCAGTCCTAACTTACTGCATATTGTTAAAATTGTTGCTTGCCTTCAGAGCTAGCTTTCATTTCCTTTCTGGAGCTGAGGGAGGCTGTATTTCTAGGCTTGCTTTCCCAACCACTCATTCCGTTAACGTGTGGCACTTTATTAGCAAACAGCGGCTGCCAAGTAATGATGTAGGAAACTAGGGTCAAAAGGTGTGTGTGTAGGGGGTGTATCACCTCTTCTAGTAATGGTGACCTTAAACTTTATTTTTTAAGATTTTTGTTGAGTAAAAGTGACTCAAAAAGGTCATTTTGTCCATATTATAAGGAGTCTTAGGGTGATTAGTTGTTGGTTTTCCTTGGTGTTTTTGTTTTGTTTTGGGGTGTTTTTGTTGCGTGTGGGTCTGTGTGTGTGTTTTTGTTCTGTTTTGTTTTTAATTAGGCTGCTCTCCTGCAGATCAGCAGAGAGATGTTCCTGCTGCCACATTGGTGATCCCTTTCCATTCCCTGAAAGAAGTGTGTTCAGCAGTGTTTCAGGGCCCCAACCTCAGCAGAAAGAGTGTTGTCTCTGGTGGCTTGTGCCTGAGCAGCGCAACTGGTGCTGACAGCTGGGGTCCAACCTGTGGCCCCCTGTGCCTCTGACTGTAAAAAACAGGAGAGAGAATGCATGGTGACCCAAGGAATTGTGGTGAATGGAGTTAAATCCAGCTGGAGGCTGGTCACTAGTGGTATCCCCCAGGGCTCAGTACTGGGACCAGTCCTCTTTAATATCTTTATCGATGATTTGGATGAGGGGATAGAGCGCGCCCTCAGTAAGTTTGCAGATGACACCAAGTTGTGTGGGAGTGTTGATCTGCTTGAGGGTAGGAGAGGGATTTGGACAGGCTGGACTGAAGGGCTGAGGACAATGGGGTGAGGTTCAACAAGGCCAAGTGCCGGGTCCTGCACTTGGGGCACAACAACCCCACGTAGTGCTGCAGGCTGGGGGAAGAGCGGCTGGAAAGCTGCCTGGCAGAAAGGGCTCTGGGTATACTGGTCGATAGCCAGCTGAACATGAGCCAGCAGTGTGCCCAGGTGGCCAAGGAGGCCAACAGCATCCTGGTTGTGTCAGGAATGGTGCAGCCAGCAGGAGCAGGGAGGTGATTGTCCCCCTGTACTCGGCTCTGGTGAGGCCGCACCTCGAGTGCTGTGTTCAGTTTTGGGTCCCTCACTACAAGAAGGGCCATGAAGATGGTGTAGGGTCTAGAGAACAAGTCATATGAGGAGCAGCTGAGGGAACTGGGGTTATTTAGCCTGGAGAAAAGGAGGCTCAGGGGAGACCTTACCACTCTCTACAGTTAAGTTACTTCTCAAAGGAAGTTGTAGCAGGGTTGGGGTCAGTCTCTTCTCCCAAGCAACAAGTGATAGGACAAGAGGAAATGGCCTCAAGTTGTGCCAGGGGAGGTTTAGTTTTGGTATTAGGAAAAAAATCTTCAAAGGGTTGTGAAGCACTGGAACAGACTGCCCAAGGAAGTAATTCAGTCACCATTCCCTGGAGGTATTCAAAAAACATGTAGAAGTGTTTCTTAGGGACAAGGTCTAGTGGTAGACTTGGCAGTGCTAGGTTAACCATTGGACTCGATGATCCTAGAGGTCTTTTCCAACCTAAATGATTCTATGATTTTGTTGCATCAAGGCAACAAAGCAGGGGGGCCTGCAGTGATTGCAGCTTGTATGAGCCGTGCCAGCTTTGACCTGCACAGAGGGGCACCTTCGGTGCATAAAACTCTCTGCTGGTTCTGCTGGCAGTTCTGAAGCCCTGCAGACATCCTGCCTGCAGAGGGAACGGAATCATTTGTTGGCAGCAGACAGAAATGTCCCCTTAAAAATGGGAATCACTCCAAATTCTCATCTTAAACTGTCAGAACTCTACCTGCTTTCACGTTGCTGTAAAAGATAAAACTCACTGACTCTGAAGGGGTATGATTACCCCTCTCCGTCCAGGTGGACATTAACTTTTTGTGAGAGTATGAGGATTGATTCATAAGCATCTTAAAGGAAGCAGAACCTTAAAGTCTGAGAAGCTTCTCCCAATTCTCGTGCCATTTCTTTCCTGCAGATTTGAATGGGATAGATCTGACTCCTGTGCAAGATACTCCTGTGGCTTTGAGGAAAGAGGACACGTATGTCCATTTTAATGTGGACATCGAGATTCAGAAACATGTTGAAAAACTAACAAAAGGTACGTGGTATGAAGTACCAGAAGCGGGGCCCAGGAGCTTTGGAAGTGTGGGTAGTAGGTTGCTCCTATCTAATGAACAGGCCATGCCCGAGCTGCTGCACGGCTCAAGATCCAGACAAGGATAAAAATAGATGTTTGTATCCTATCTTTTCCAAATTGGTCACTGTGATGACTTGCAGACAAGGGAGGAATGGATGAAAACAAAAATGCAGCAGTCTGCTCTGCAGCACAGGTATTGAGTTTCTTTGTGATGCTTTTAGTTACCTGGATGTGAATAACTGAGTGAAGAGTACAAGCTCTTGCGAGTGTGATGACGAGCATTGTAAGAACATGGTGTATCTTTTAAGTAAATTGCTAAAGTGTTGGAAATAATTTAATCCAATATATGTAGAGCATCTTAAATTGCAGATAAGTATTAGGATAACTGTTGGTCATAATTGCTAACTTTACTATTAACCCATTTTCCGTTTTAGGTGCAGCTATTTTCTTTGAATTCAAACACTACAAGCCTAAGAAAAGGTTTACTAGCACCAAGTGCTTTGCTTTCATGGAGATGGATGAAATTAAACCCGGGGCAATTGTTATAGAACTGTAAGTGACTTGCAATTATTAGATGCCGATGACAGAGGAACTGAACTATCCTTCTGTTAGGATGTGTAGCTTGTATCGTGGAAGGTTTAATGAACTCATTGGATTAAGTTACAGAAGGACTATTCTATTTTTAATAAAGAAGGGAAGATAAAATGCTTTTAGACAAACAAAATAGCTATAAATCTTTCTTTTTTATACATATATATATATATGTATATATATATATATATCCAAATAAAATGCTGGTGTTTGTAACTGAATTTTGTATCAATTCAACAAATTCTGTAGGGGAGATTTTCATTTTGATATCCTCTTGAATGTCAGATCAGCTGTACTTAAAAATTTTTTTTTGAACTCCCATACTCCCATCATCTTCTGATACAGGACTTCTGTGCAGGAAATATGAATTGAGACATGGGATTCTGATTTGAAATAGATTTTTATGAACGCTTCAAAGCAGTTAGGTGGTGGGTTTTTTTTTTCACTCTATGTAAAGAAATGGATCAGCCAGTTTTAGTGCAGTGGTTATTATGTGCATCCTAGCCTTACTGCATGGGTGAAAGTCTGTCAAGTGAGGGTTTTGAGTTTTTGTTTTCTCTTTCCAGGAAGGAGTGAACCTTGCAGGTGAGGACAGTTGTAGAAAGAGTGCTTAACTTAATCTTTGCTAGCTGGAGTACTTCTTTGAGTTTCTTCCTGTAAATCCATTTATTGTTGTTCCAGTAAATCTCATCTGATGTATTTAAAGATTATGGTAATAGGATCAGGACAGGACAGGCTTCCTAGTGTGCTTTCATCTTCCTCATAGCCAGTAGGACTTGCAGTAATTTACTTTCTTGTGCTTACAGGTACAAAAAACCCACTGACTTTAAAAGGAAGAAATTACAACTGTTGACCAAGAAACCACTTTACCTTCACCTCCATCAAACGTTGCACAAGGAATGACCCTATTTGTGAGACTTCTGTGAACTGAACCACAAGTCATGGTAGCTGTGTGTAGTAGCCTTAGGCTTCAAGTGGCAGGAGAACGACTGTGTCCATGCCAGTAGGTCAAACGGGACCATCACATCCTGCACAGCACTCCTTCAGGGTCAGAGGCAAGCCTACCAGCCAAGTGCAAGTTTTTTTTTCAGTACCTTCCAGATACAGGTTTTTCTGAGAGCCCTGAAATATTTTGACTGCTTTTCCTAATTTTGCTGTTCATCACTTTTTATCGTAACCATTATTATCCTTTTGCCTCAAACTCCACCGAAGGTTGGAGACTGCCCCTTTGCCAAACCTGTAGCAATAAAGATGTGGCAGGCCTACTAACCTGTTTACACTCGCTGTGCTATTGTAGTTCCTCTCATCTGCATTTCAGAGTCCTCTGCAGGGGGCTGGGTGCCAGAAGATGGAGGGGAGGGATGAGGTGGGGTGGGAAGGAGCTTGAGCTACTGCAAGTGATTATAAGGTGAGGGAGGAGGATGTGGGGTCAAGTGGCCACGAAAGAGCTCCTCAGTCAGCTGTTCCGCTTTAGTCAGGCCAGGAGGAGGACGACTGCAGATGAGAAAACTGAACTATGATGTTAACAGCTGAATCTTAGTTCTTAGCCGTGCCTGATCCACTCTTACTGAGTTTTGGATACAATAGATATGGGTCAGTCCTTTCAATCACAAGTACTCCCTAACAGAACTAATTTTTGTGCATCTCCTCATAGAATGATTTGCGAAGATGGGTGGGGAAAGGAGAGAGGCTTTCTTCAGGGCTTCATCCTCACGGCGATGGGTATTTCACCATTTCAGTGACAGGACAGGCCCCTCCGTGTTCAACAGGATTGATTTTCCAGAGCTTTTGATACAATAGATCTGGCTAGCAGGTTGGCCCATCTTTTACAAGAAACTGCTGTTCTTATGGAAACTGATTGTATGCAGTTTTCTGCATATTTTGTGCGAGTCTGGAAACTTACTCCAAAAATGACCTTTTTATGTAAGTTGATAGGATTATCATTTTCTGTATTTTTGAGTCAGTGTATAATAAGCTGCAGGACATGGGCTTATTATGACACTCTTGCATTTACCTTTTGACCTAATAAAGGGACAGAAGTAGAACCCAGTCAAATCTTTCATATATTTAATACAATACTTTAAGGTTTGATGTATTTCTTGCATATCTAATTAGTGCCTAAATACTCTGCTATGCTAACAGAAGACCCAGCACCCAAACTAGCGTCAACTATTAAGTTTATTTTAAACAGTCTGGATGCAGATCTATCACTAGTCTTTTTTTTTTTTAATGTCATGTAGCCCCCCAGATGTTGCAGTGTGCTTTAAATGGAAAGGATGTTACGTCTTCTCATGATAGTTGTCTGCCTGTAGACAGGCATTCAACATTTTTTGTTGTACCATACTGATGAGGATAAAAAACAGCTTTGTTTTTGTTTTGTCCTCACCTTTGAATCTTCTTTTTTGTTTGTTGTTGTCTTGTCCTAGCCTTAGCACCTTTCCTCTGTTCTGGTGTAACTAGGAATAAATTTTCCTTGCTGAGTAACTAATAGGCTAATATGATAAAAGCCAGCAATGCTTCTTCCAAATTCTACCAATAATTGGAGTTTAAAAAAAAAAAAAGTACTTGAATGTGCCTGTTTACAGGTCTTTGAAGTGCATATTCCAATGGTTTGGGATGTTGACAATATCAGAATATAAAGCCCTGAAAAGATATCCCTATGAGTTACAAAAAAATACCTCTGAATGAAGCATTTTGAATAACATACAAAAAGAGGATTTCTAAATTCTAAAAAAAAAACCAAATAAATAATAATTGCTAATCCTTCAAACTCTACTAAAGGATAGAGCAAAGTGTTAGTTTAACTTCTACAGCTGCAAATAAATCTAAGCTAGGGCAACAGCTGTGTTGCCAACAGCCCTGGGCTAGCTCAGGTCTCTTTCTGACCTAGGAATCTGTAGCACCAAGCTTCTGTGCAACGTGTACAGGCTGTCGCACTCAGCAAGTGACAGTTGTGTGGCTGTCCCCACTCTGCCATCCTGCCATTGCTTTTGGGAATCAGTCAATGCCCGGTGAAAGCACTGAAGTAAGTTACATGCTCTGCCTGGGACTCAGCACGCTCGCTGCCATCCCGTTGCTCCCAGAAGATGATTCCTTCCAGCTTTAAGTTAATCCCAGCTGGGGTGGGGAAGGGAAGAGATGTTCAGCATCACAAAGCTTGGTGTTGGGGAAAGGAAGATTCTGAACTTGGAGGACCTGACTTTCAAATACAAATATTCATCTATGTATATGGAATTCGCCGCCATTCAAATTGAACATTTTCACTTGAATTACAAACCCGTTGTTTCAGCTGCTTACCTTGACTCTTCCCCAGCTTGTAGATGTCTGTATGAACTTGTTATATGAAATGTCAACTTTGAAGTATTTTTGTTAAATACACAAGTAGAGCTTTGTATTTAACTAATTGTGAATTAATGTCTGTCAAGTGTGAAATACCATTTTTATGCTTCTATCCTTTTACTTTTTTTTCTGTGAACTGTCTTTCATTGAACGGACTACTACTTCTCCCTCCACAAGCACTTGTATTATTTTATGCTTTAGTAATGTTCTATCTTGTCCTTCATCTTAACTCTGAAGTTTAGTACTTGTACTGTAAGACTGTAACACCTACATGGCAAGTTTAATGGCTGCTTGTACTCTGGCAGTAAAGCTGTAATGGCCTTCATTAGATTTTTTATTATTCCTAGTTTTCTCTTCCCTTTATTTTTTTTAACCTCCCTAAGTACTTATGTGCAAGCCTAGTATTTTTGTTTCTCTTTTTTTTTTTTAATATAAATGAATAATCTAATGAAGTATAGACTTAGTATTGAAGAACAATTTGGCTTCCTTGCCACTAAGATGCAAACTCACCTCTCAAACCTTGCTTAATGCTCCCAAGCCAATCTTGAATGCAAAAAGTGGTTATTCAATTCCTTAGCTTCTAGAGTGCTGGAGCCCCAGCCTATGTTTCTGTACTAACCATGTGACCATGGAATTCAAGAGCTCAGGGTGTTCAAGAGTTTCCAGCTCTGTCCTGCCCTTCAGGTGAGGAGGTCTGTATCCCCCACCATCTTCATGCATGAAGCAAATCAGTAGGTTTCTAGGCCAGTCCAGCATAACATTCAGTCAATCATTCATCTTGCAACAGCTGCAGTGACTCAGCTTTGACTCAGTTCTTGAACTTGGTCAGGGCTGGTTCAGTAAGGTAGCATTCTCTCGTTACAATGTCCATTCTGAATGAAAAATGGCACTGAAACAAAGCCGTCAGGGTTTAGCAAAAGGAATTTTGCTTTTTATTATAACCTTCCTTTGAATACAGTGTCATTTGTGCTTCTGATCTCTGACCAGACATCTGTTTAAAAAAAAACACAACAAAACAACCCACACCTCACAGTCCTTATGTAAACTCCTGGACTAGAACAGCTGCAGCTGAATGATGTGATGGAGAAGGCAGGTAAGATAGCATTTTACTTAAAAATTATTTCCACAGGAAATGATTTGATTTACATTTTTCATGAAATTAGTTCATTCACCAACTGGTTACAGAGGCTACATTTAATTAGAACTAGCCACACAGGTACTTCCTTTCTATTGCACGTTTAGAGTAGGTTCAAGTCCATCACAAAAAGGTTCTTGCAGCCCAAGAGGATGGATGAGTTTAAGGTGATCATAAATGCACGTAAGATGTCTGCAGCAACTGGATAAAAATTAATCCTGCAAAAGCTGAAATATACTGAAATGAGACAAATGGCTTCAAATAGAAAACCATTTCCTAAAATCCTGACCGCAGGAAGTGTGCTAGAGTCCATTCCATTGAGCTGCTGACCAGAGACTGCAGTCAGGGCTTCTGCGCTGGAGGCTGTGTATAGTCCTTGGAGCCTGCTGGTGCTGGAGGAGGGCCTGCAGGGTAGTCTCTAGGTGCTGCCAGAGGCAAGTCTCTGCTAGGAGAAGGTGTATAGTCCCTTGAGCCAGGCGGGGGTAGCTGTGGGCCTTGAGGATAATCTCTCGGGCCAGGAGGACCTAGAGGTCGGAAGGAAGGGTGCCCACGTCCGTATGCTCTGGGATCTGGAGGGGGTGGTAGCGGGCCAGGGGGCAGATCTCTCATTCCTAATGGTGGGCCAGGTAAGAAATCTCTTGCAGCTGGAGGTGGTAAGGGAGCGCCACGAACTAGAAGGAAAGGAAAACGTGAAAGGTAAATTAAAGTTTACTTTGACATAAACTTTGATGCTCCTGATTTCTTCCTCGCTTATTAATTTGCTGGAGCAGTTCTGGGGTAGGTCATTGTCACATGGCCTGTGAAGTCTGCATTAGTTATATTCTCATGCCTTTTGGCTGCTCGTTTCAATTTTAGACTAAGCAGACAAAAACACTTTGGCATTAAGGAGGCTTGGGAAAAAGAAACACAGCCACCCAAACCTTCTGAGCCAGACAGCTAGACCTCATGAAGAACGGGGAGGCTGCATTCCACCAGGTGGCAGATTCCCAGCTCTATAGCAGTCTCCCTGAGAAGCTCAGTGGGATAAGTTCAGTTTCAGCAGAAGGCAATACAATTGTACCTAGGGGCACAGGAAGAGGCCGGGGCCCAAAGTGTCCACGCAGAGGAGCTGGCGGCGGTCCGTAACGAACAGGTGGTGGGGGCGGAGGTCCCATCACTGGAGAGGTCATGATGGGTGTCCCAGGGAAAGAAGGCGGGCCTTTGGGACTAACGTTAGCCTGCGTGAGATCAGGTTAAAAATCCAGTATGTTACTCACTGCATCAGAGAAACCTTCACACTACTGAACACCACAACCACTCACCTGAAGGCCGAAAGGTGGAGAAAAAAAAGAAAAAAAAAAAAAAGACAGCCCAAACTGCAGTAACCAAGGAGAAGGAAATACACTGCACCATCACTGTCCCTTCACCCAGAAGGCTGCGTGCACTACCTAGGAGTGAATACTTTGTGTATCTTCTGAGATGGCAAGTTTCTTGAGTACAGCTTTAGCTAAAGAGAAGATCGACCGATCTCTTTTGGCTGATACCTCTTTGGTAAAGGGCCCAGCACCGTAAGGTACATGTGGAATTAAATAGTACAGGTAAGTCCATTTCTTAAGATTACTGTAGTCACTCCAAAGTTAAGTGTTTCCCTGCAGCCCTTAACAAGAAAGGTCTCATTTCCTTAATTCCATAAAAAAACAAACAAACAAACAAACAAAAAAAACAGACAGACAGCACCCGTTCATCATTAGAGAAACCTTTCAAGATATAAGCCCTTGGTTAGTTTTGCAGAGTGTTTTGTTATTTAGCAGTTCAGAACAAGAACACCAAGCCTGTTACTCTTCTCCATCAAAGCAGCGTAACACCATATTCCGCCTCTGAATACTCACTGTAGGTGGTTCAATAGATGAAGGTGAATCAGTAGTTACACAGGGGGCCTCAGACTCTTTGGGAGAGGGCTGCTTTTTTTGGTGAGGGTGGAAGGGGACAGCAAATAAGGATAGTGACAGGATATAGACAAGACAGAACATGACACAGTTAAAGAAGCAGCAAGAAGTACAGTGAATCATGTATTAGAAATGGTTCCTGAAGGTTGTTTGTTTTTTTTTTTTCAGCTTACCGCTCTATCCATTGCTGTGGAAGGGGAGGAGGTTCTTGGCCCACTACTGATCAGGGATGCTACAGCAGGCCCAAGATCTGTAGAGAGAGCCATATATGTTTTAGTGATGCTCTGGGAAAAGGAATATTGGTCTTGAAGTTCCAATTCTGAAGTGAAAAAATAAGCAAGTACATTGCAATTGGTTGCAGACACCACATAGCTTACCAGGAACAGACATCCTTCCAGGGATCTCTGGTGGCCTTCGTGGAACAGAGGGGCCATCTACCACTGTACCTTAAGGGAAACACCAGAGATTCTAATGAACACATGCTCAAGCTATTTCTATTAAAATAAATAAGTCTCTGCATTACTAAAGCAGGTGCCAATGTCCCTACAATCAAGATCAGACCTCCTTGGGTTTGTAGCATATAGGATACACAGGACAGGAAAGAAGCTTCACTGCTTACCAAATTCACCTCTTGAGCCTTCCCTTCGAGGAGCAGAAAGGGGCCGACCAGGAACTTCTATCATCTGTGTCGGTGATGGATTTCCTCCACTCACAGGCGATGGGCCGAAAGAGCCATCTCTACTTAAGGGCCCTACATCAAGAAATAAAAAAGCGATGTACTTTTCTACAATGTATCAAAGCCTTTTTTTGTTTTTTTTTTTTAAAGAATAAAATCATTTGAAGACCAAAGTTTTGGGAGAAATGGCAGCATTTACCTCGTCGTGGTGGAACTTGACGATCGGGTCTGCCTGGAGTTGGCTTCACAATTAACGGTCTTTGAAGCATAACAATTTTTTGGTTCACTTCTATTAATCTAAATTTAAAAAATAAAGTTATTTTTAATTAAAGTAGCACATGTGAGTTGCATTCATTAGCATGAAACAGTATCACAAGCAAACTGCATTGTAAAATGTTACAGCTTTTACCAAGAAGTCTTATTTCAACCATCAAAACAGTTTAATAGTTTAAACATACCTTGTATACACACTGCACATTTTACACAAACAAACTGAGCAACTGGCATAGTTTGAGCTCCTCCCCTCCTAAGAAACACAGCATGTTCACAGCGCAATAAAGACAGCCTGTACTGTACTTACTTTTGTCTCAGGTTGGCTGCTTCTCTTTTTTCTTCAGCCAGAGCTCTCTCAGCAGAGCGGGCAATAAGCTGTGAGGGAAAATTTTGCCAGCTGCATTAACTGGACCAGCCTGAAGCCAAATATATATATATTTTTTGGTATCAGAAATGGAAGGACATTCTTACCCAATTGTCATGTGCTTTTTTCTCATGAGCAGCAATCTGAGAAAAAAAGAATTTTATTAGCTTTTATTTGTCCAACAACTAACATTTCCAAGAACTCAGAGCATTAAAAGGATGCAGGAAATGGTGACACAACAGCCAGCAAGCAGGTCATTTACCTGGTTTTTGTATGATCTCTCTGTTTTTTGCAATTCTTCTTCCATATCTTGAATCCTTTGTCTGTATAAAAGGAAAGAGGCTTAAATGAGTTTTTTCCCAGCAGCTGAAATAAAGGAAAATAACAGTTTTCAGAAAAAATAAGTTACTTGTAAACTTTCACTTCCTCAATGGCCAGCACGGCTTTTTCATCTGCAGCAGACAGCTTCTGCTCCTTCTCCTGTCGCTCATATTCTTCTTGAGTTAGTTTTCTACATAGGGGAAAAAAAAAAACTGAACAGTGCAACACAACAAAAACAAGCAAACAAAGCAGCAACACCATACAACCATACTACATCTACTACAACTCAAAATCAAGGAAGATTAAAATAGACAAATGCCATCTTTTAAAACCAACAGACAAACTGTGTGTAAAACTTGAAAATTTACAATGTAGAATTGACTGGAAAGACCTGTCAGAATCTAACAGTTGTAGAATAATTCATCTCTTCAATCCCAAAATTTACTTAACAATTCTACAGATGATAATCCAGATTTAGAAAGGTACAAAGAAATACACAGAGCTAACATCTAACTAAGGAAAGGTCTAGAGAAAAAGGGGGAATTTAGTACCCAGGTAACAAACACCAACAGTCATCAAATGTGTGGAAAGAAGCTTTTTTTCAGTATTCTCCATATCATTTTATTATGGGACCAATTTTCACAGTATTTTTAACCTTATGGTTTGCTAAATAAAAATATTTCCAGAATAATATAAAAAATTAAAGAGGCTCACTGTGTGTTTCTATCTTACAAAAGCTATCCCACAAAACTGGAGCCATTAAACTCATAGTTAACTATTGCTAACAGCCAGTTCAATGTAATCCACCACAATAGCTACATGTAGAAACAGTTTTTCCAAAAATACAGGTAGTCCTAAATTCAAATCAATACGTAACAACAGACAGTGTAACTTCCTAAAAGTTTTGGAAGGAATATAAATCCTTCTGTCAGAGATGCCAAGTTTTTTTTTTTTTCTTCTTAAAAATTGGGCTATCCTTTACCTCTCTAATACGTGATTATTACATCTGGGTCCTGAGGTTACGAGATCAGAGCCTCACTACTGAGGTGCTATACAGCCTAAGTTCCTTAGCTTGTTCCAACCCTGTGCTTCTCCCAGCCCACACACTTGAACCTTAGAGCTTCCAAATTCCCCCACACTTGAACCTTAGCGCTTTCAATTGCTTCTCCATCGAGTTCCAGTTTTCTTACAGAATTTAACTGACAATGTCCCTGAATCCTACCTAAAGTTTTCTCCACGGAACAATTTTTTTTTTTACAGACATTTTAGTAAGTAAATAAACGAATGCATGAATGCTACATGAATAGATACACGTTCCTTCTTCACCAGTGGTGTTTCATTCGCCTCAGCTATCACCATGAACTCAATTTAGCCCTTTGAAAAAAGCAAAAAGCTCACAAGGCTAAAATAGTAAGTTGCTGCATTATGAAAACTAGATTCATTGAACAATAAAAAAAGTCAGAATAAGTGAAACAAGTCTTTATCAACATTCTCTACCTTCTCCTTGACAATACGACATACCAACCACAGAATTCTCAGACCAAACCATGCTTGGTCTCCCCCAGTTATTTTTTTTTTATTTTTGTTTTTGTAGAAGACAATACTGTGTGTGAAAAAGTGACACTGTTCTCAAGTGACATTCTTGAGAATCTGTGGGTAGGCTGCTAGTTTGAACTGTACTTAAATGGCAGTCATCAGTTTTCACTATAAGTTCAACTTGAAATCATTTGACCCTACTGAACAAAGAGCATTTGGATAGTGCTTATGATCAAGTATGTTATCTCATGAAAGAGTAATGAAAGGCTTACTTCTGGAGCGCCATTTCTTTCTGCTGGTAAAGTTCACCGAGAATCTCTACTTTCTGCTGTAGTGTTTTACATTCATTTTCCAGTCGAGCTTTGGCTGATTGTAGCGAACAGGAGTCGTGTTCTAGCTTTTTTATTTGCTCTGTCAGAGAAGCAAAGATAAGCGAAAAAGTTGAAAGGAAGTTACAAAGAGAACTGTTATGCCACTTAAGTGTTCTGTTTCTTTTTAAACTACAAACAGCATATTGTCCTAAGCGATTCTTTTGCTAAGCCTACCCACCTTCCAGCTCATGTCTTGCTGTTACTTCGTCACTCAGTTTGGACTGCAGAAGATTTCTGTCTTCTTCAACTATGGATAACATAGTTTTTACCTAAAAATTAAAAAATGTTTAGGTTCTTAGGCATAGCAGTAACATGGCTGCATTTATTAGATATCTTGTGCAGCATACCCTGGAGACGTCCATCATCTGCTTAATCTGAGTCTTCATCTTTTCATTCTCATTATCTAGAAGATAAAAATAAATTTGTTTTCCTTATTTTTTAACCCCAATTCTCTGGACTCTGTAGCTGTTAAAAATAATACTCCCTGCCTTTTAACCTGGGAGAGGTCCAAAGAAAAAAAGGTGGGGGAGGGGACAGGGAAACAGGACAAAACACAGTAATTCAAACAACAAAACTGGTAGATTTATTTCAAAAAACATTCCAGAAGATTCCTCCTTGTTACTACTTCTAGCCATGACACTAACATGAATGTGAATGCAGCATCCATTATTGGACACAGTATATGAAAATCAACAAGTGGGAATTTCCAGCCCACTTATACTGTACAGTTAGAAAAACCACAGGAAAGGGGAAGGATTCAGAATCACAGACACAGCAAATGTTTACAATATTAAGCAAAACAAACTTCCTGAATAGTCTTGCAAACTTCCACTCTAGTCTTTCATGTTAAAAGATGTGATTACCTGAATTAGCTATCTATCCTGAGGTAACCGTAACACTCGTATTAAAATAACTGTAGCCTAGCAACAGAGCTGAGATTCTCAGCTTTCAAAACAGTCCTAACTGCTAACTTCCATACACATTTAATTGTTTATCTTTAAAACTCATTACACTTACAACACACCTGAACAGTAATCTAAAAGCAATCTTAGCGCTTTTATCCACTTCTCCCTTCATTTGGATATTTTGTGTTGACTGAAGGTTCAACCTGTCAGTCTCGTAAACCCACAAGCAGCTACACACGTGGATTCTCCTTGTTCCCCATATGACACAAACATAACACCTTACATGTATATCCTTTAGCTACTGTGTGCAGCAGCCAGCAGGTAGGATTACTGTACCTGGCAACTCTCCATTGGCCAGATCGTCCCCTCTGCTCCATTCATGCCCTTCACCATCCTTCTTGGCATCAGATGAAGAATCTATGTCAAGCTGCTTCAGCTGCATAATGCAGTTAGTTAAAACCTAGTACAGAAATCATAGGATCACTGAAGGAAAATTGTTCTACGTTTTAAGTATTCCAAAGTGTTTAACAACATGTACTGTTTAAGGCTTGTTACAAAGAACCTACCTCAATTTCATTTTCCTTATAGGCAAGTGCTTCTTCTATGTCCTTCTGAGACTTCTGATACAGTTTAATCTGCTCACTGAGCTCAGTATGTCTCTCACTCCAGCCTTCAGCTTCTTTTAGCAGCTGTATGAAACACCAAAGCAAGACGATTTTTTTAATTATTTTGAGTAGAGGCTATGCGTAACAGAAATCTGTTTTACTACCAGCTCTGGTGATAACCAATCACCACAGGTCACAGATCAGGTGTGAACTTAATTATCACACACATTACTAGTCTATTGGCAGAACTGGATGCTGGGAATCTTTTTGCAAATTACACTATTAAGCAGTTTTCCAAATTTTTATGTTTTCACATCTGGTATCCCAACATCAGAAACAAACTGCTCACATACTTCAGAACATGAACAATTGCAGCCCAGAGGTTAACCAAACCAGATTCCTTAAAACAGCATTTACTTCATGTATGAAAAAAGAAAGCACAGAGACACTTGCAAGTATCTGCAGAAGTACTGTCATGACATTTCAGGGCTAAAGGGGCTCTTCATTTAGCTTTGCTTCAGAATTGTTTTTTGGCAATTCGTGACTCTGACATCCCAAGTACCAATCTCCTGATCACACAGTGACACCGTATCAGTGCAAGTTTTCTGTGAAGTTACTGATAAACAAATCACTGGAACTGGCAAAGCCTGCGTAACGGAGGCGTGGCTAACTTGCACAAAAAGCCCGTGCAAGAAGCATGAGGGGTTTAAATATTAAAAGTGAAAATTCTAATATGTTAAGAAAACTCAGACGAAGTGAAGATACACTCAAGAAAACTAGGAATAAAGCCCTGATATTTAAGTCAAAAGGGAAACAGCGTCTGGTCAGAACTTACTTGTTCCTTGCTCTTTTTCAGCCTAGCATTCTCCTCCTGCACATGCTGGAGCTCTGACTTTACCTTTTCTTCATTTAATTTAGCTTCATTAAGGGCTATCTGCACCTACAAATGAAACAAACAAAAAAAATGAACAAAAAGAGTGATAAAGGTCAAAATGTAATAGAGTAAGAGCAACATATTACCGGGAAAGAGAAAAAAAAAGTTATACATGCACAAAGTGAAATCTTACAAGTTAGCATTTTCTATTAGATACTACGCATGAATTTTCCTGCACAGAACTTATACCTGTGACTGTTGAAAGAATGTAGACACCTTACCGAAGCTTTTCAATACTTAAAGGAGGCTTATAAAAAACAGATGGAGAGCAACTTTTTGCTCAGGCAGACGATGACAGGAGAAGTGGGAATGGTTTTAAAATAAAATAGGGGAGATTTGGATTAGTTGTTAGGCTGAAATTCTTCACTCAGAGGTCAGTAAGGCACTGAAATAGATTGCTCAGGGAAGTTGTGGATGCTCCGTCCCTGGAGGTGCTCAAGGCCAGGCTGGATGGGGCTTTGAGCAACATGATCTAATGGTAGGTGTCCCTGTCCATGGCAGGGGGCTTGGAACAAGGTGATCTTTAAGGTCCCTTCCAACCCAAACCATTCTATGATTGTAGATGACAGGTAATCTTTACCTCTGACAGCTCAGCAGAATGCACACTGATAGCCTCTTCAAGTTTCTCCAAGGACTTCTGGTTTTCAGAGATCTATACAAGAAGATGAGCAGTGAGTCTGTATTAGCCTAGTACATGGCATAACCTGCGTGTCATTATTTTAACCTGTGCATCTTGAAAAGCATAAAAAGAATTCTTAATGCCAACAAACTACCATTCACACAAGCCATTAGACTAGCAGCAACAGCGCTGCCTTATCAGCAGGGCAAGGAATAAAAACCACCCTGCACTTTAGAGTCACCTTTCACCTTTGACTCTGCCTGTGCATGGCTGGGAAAGCTCCCTTTATACCTACGCTGCCTAGAACAAGAGTACCACGTGTTGCTGTCATTAGCAACAACCTTTGATCAAAACACTAAAGAACTTGTTGGAGCTTTCTATTATTTCAGCAAATCAGGCTTTAAAAAGGGGAAGAAAAAAAAGAAAAGAGTATCACCTCCGGACACAAATTAGGGGCAGCTTAGAGATCTTCACATTTACTATCAAATTAGATGCTTCCTCTAATCACAAGAACAGTTCTCTTACCAGCCTGAAACCTTCAGCCCATATTGTTATGGAACTTCCTGGCTTTTGCTAGGATTTATTAGACCAGCCCACAAGTGAAATATATCTGTTTGTGTATGAAAGTATAACTACAGAAGCTCACCAAATCTTAAAAAACAACAAAAGTCAACAGAATCTCCCCCCCGAACTTGGAATGAACCTGAAATTTCATTTCAGTTCCTTTTGAGGTGGGTCATCTCATTTTCTATACCTCTCTCCGTAAATGAACAGGATGCAGCCAGTTTGTAGGGCATTTTAAGGACAGTGCAAGACCTTAGTATGATTGCTCTTACCTTTTTCTGTTTCTTCTCATTCTGTTTTCTCTCAGTTTCAAGCATTGAGTGCAGACTTCTTATTTTGTCATCCAGTTTACGATTTGCTTCTTCCAGCCCTTTGACAGTGTCCTACAAAAAACAAAAAAAAAGGGTACAATAGCAACTAAAGCAAGTTATTTTATTAGCACATTTGTGTTTAGTACAGAGATGATTAACTATTCCTTACCTTAAGCCCTGCAGTTTCATCAGAGAGAATATTTTTTTGCTCTTGGGCTGCTTTCACTGATTCCTTTGCTTGCTTTATCTAAGCACAAGAACAACCAACAGAACTGAGCAAACTGTCAACGTAATATTCAGTAAGAACAGAAAAATAAGAATATACTACCTGTTACACGTACTATGACAACACAACAAACCAATAACAAAGTCAGGAAGGCAAGAGGCAAGAACCTAGAATGATACCTTTTCGTCATATTCTGACATCTTGTCTAGGATTTCTGTTTTTTCTTGTAGAAGGTTTTTAATCTTTTCTGCAAGTTGCTTTTCAGTCACTAGGAAGAAAAAGAAAGCTTATAGTAACTGTACTTCACATCCTGGAGGAAAAAAAAAAATTAATCAGAGCTATCACTTTAGGGAACATTTTCAAGAAAGGAATAAAGCACAAGTCAGGACAGTTGTACATTTCCTGGCAATCAGCCCTTTCTGCTGTAGTCTGAGCATCTCCAGCTTTCATTTAAAGCTAGGACTGAAAACAAGACCATAAAGCATTAAATACTGATGCAAAGCATAGGGCTCTTGCATCCAGTTCACAGGAGCTGGTCACTGACCATGCAGCAGAGAGAAGTGAGGTGCTGGCTAGAAAAAGAAAAGGTACATTCAAGGGAAGAATTGACAGTGAGGATGTTGGAATGGTCTCAGACTGCTGTGTGATACTCAAGGGAGATGCAACCACTTTCCCTAACAACTACCTCTTTCTGCTGTACAGGAACTGAACGTTTGGTCAGCAAAGGATGAAAAAATAGGATGAAAGCTCTGAGTTAGCGGGAACAGAAAAGAGACCGTCAGCTAGCAGATGGCATCACTGAGCCTCACGGAGCTGCACGGCTTTCTAACAGACACTGTTTCTGGACTTCAAAGAGGGCTGTGACCTTTCATCCTGAAGGTTCTAGGAACTGTTCTTTAGTCATGCATTTGTTTCTCAACCCCAACAACTCTCCAACCAACCTTTAGGATTCATTGTACATTATTAACATACTTAAATTACTTTATTGCAAATTAATGCCGATCCAATTGGAATTCTTTTTCAAGTCCTAAACCACCCCCATATTTGAACATCCCAAGGCCCATTTGCCTCACAGCAAATCCTGGAGCACGAACAACAGGAAGCACCGGTTGTTCCAACTGCATCCTACACAGTGCAATTGCAACTGCTACTCCTCTGTCCTCTTTTACGTGAGGGCTCCTGGCCTAGATGTCTCCCGGCCCTTCCTGCTTCCAGCAACTGCTTAAGTACAAGACAGTTCTGAGCACTTTAAGGGGGAAGGACTCCCCACATTAACCCACTCTCCCAATTTTACTGTTGTGATAAACAGCAGGTAATAGATTTTATCTTCAGTATTCCAAATGTAATCTATCATTTAATGCATTTTTGTCACTGTTAGTGTTCCTCTATTTTATATAAAGGCTTTTCAGTATCAACATAATCTATCATACTTGAAGAGTACTTGTACTTAGCTTCAGTAGTTTCTATACAAGAAAACATTTAGGAGAAAAAAAAAAGATTAGACCTACATTCCATGTTTTTTCAGGAAAGGCTTTTAAGTAATTTATATACCAGAATAACAGTGTTAGTGAAGAGAGAAAAACACATGTTTTCCAGAAAAAATCCCCTTACAGACTTAAGATGGATTTTTTTCGTCTTGCCAATCTGCATGAACTGTATGGAAAGAAACTGCCGTACAACTAAAACAAAACTAGAGAGAGATGACAAATAAATAGTATGGTTTGTGAGGAAACAAGCAGAAAGAATATACGAAGATGATTCTTTCATGTTTTCATTTTGTATTAAATTACAAATTGTAGCAGTCACCATACTTTGAATTCTACTTCCTTTCCACTCAGTACCATTTAATCTTACATACATCAAGCTATGAACTAGCCACAGGAATATCTGCGTATTTACATCTACATTTAGAAGGTCTCTTCACAACCGCAAAGCAACCAGTTTCAGACTCCCTTCAACACAAAATGGCAAGAGGAATTAGATACTGCTTTTTGTGAGAAGCACCAAGCAAAAGCAAATTCACTGTGTTAGAAAACAGAACAAATTCTTCTCCACTGCCATCATACCAATTAACCAAGGATCGCATTTAAGTTGAACCAAGTGGAGCTTTTCCTTGCCTTTTTTTTTTTTGAATTTGCAGGTGTGGAATGCATTGTTTCTCCCAATCAGAGCATGTTCCAAATAGTCAGATTTAAGTAAGCATCACCTACCAGCCTAGCTTATACCATAACCAGATTTAGCATTATCCTTGAAAGGAAGTGAAGATTAACACTGTCCACTGAAATGATCTTTAACGTTTTTATATGCCTAACCATCAAGTACACCAAAAAGCACAGTGAAACCTACCTTGATAGATTCTACTCTTTACCTACAGAAAAAAGAAAAAAAAAAGAAAAAAATTAGCCATAATGAAGTCAAAGTGTCCTTTTTTTTCCCCCCCCATGGAAGCAAGTTACCACATATACCCAGATTAAAGAAGCATACGGAAAGTACATCCACCACTGCCAACAAGAGTGTTGAATAACACCACAAACAAGCTTAAGCTGTTTTCTAATAAAAGCTTCTAGGTTAATGCCCTGTCCTAGTGCCGAAGTAAATATCTTTTTACTTAGTCCCTGAAAGGTTGCCAGTAACTGGTCACATCCCATAAAAAAAAAATAAATAAAATTGAACTGTTTTGCATCAAACAACAATCATGTACCTGCAAACATAAAAAACACTTGCACCCCCAGCCTGACCCACCATCCTAAAGCAATGCATGTTTGCATTACAGGGGCTCATTTCAAAACTAACACCATTAAAGAAATTCACAAGCTCCCCTTTTTATGCTGTTAGGTATCAACAGTATTTTGCATTTGAAACTGACATAGTGCATTAAACATCAAAAGTCAAGCAGTGAAAAAAATTACCGGTGTTACTCCAGATAATATTTGGAAGTATTCCACAGATTTCCAGTGCATGCCATCACTGAATTGGATAGCTATAATATAAGCTGTACATAATGAGAGCTGATGATGGCATTTTTCTTGCACTGAAAGTTATCCATGCATGAAAGAAGGGGAGAAACGCAAAGTGAGAAGCAGAGTGAGGAAGAGGATCTTTGGTGAGAATTATGATCAGGTTTTTAGGTTTTGTAGTATGGTGTTATGGACAATATGAAGGGTGTGATTAACTGCTTGTTTTGGAGACAGCAACAGGCTCCAGAATATAGAAGGCTTTTCATTGCAAATATTCACTGACCCTTTCTCTCCTCGGCCCTCTAGATTTATATCATGTTCCCCTACTTTGCTTTAGAAACTACCTTTTATTAAGAAATCTTCAATTAACAGCTTAAAAGGAATGCGTTTTTAGTTTGAAGAAAATTACAAATTACTTTAGCTATGAACCCCAGCATTTGGTTCATATTAATGCTTTAAACGGAAAAGGTAAAAATGCCAAAGACTGCATATCGCTTTGGCATTGGTAATGCTGGAAGTTCAGTCACAGAAGACCGCTCAGCCAGTTAAGTATCAGTAGGCTCCTAAGCAGGAATTGTACTCACTGAAAGGCAGGTTCTCCAGAAGATTACAGCGAGCGTGGCAATTCCCACTAAGGCAGTGATAATAACAGGCTCCCATGGAAGTCCATGGAAATCAGGCCCAGGACGAATATCCTCAGGCAGCGTAGCAACCAACTAAAAACCAATTAACATTGAAAACTGTGAACACGCTTGCACCAAGCACACGGGTAAGACAAGCAGCCTGACAAACGCTTTTATCCCTCTCACAGACCCAGAGAACCATCTAGAGCTTTCTTGCAGCCTTTCTGTAAACCGAAAACGCTGAGAGAAAACCGCAAGGCTGCTGCGCTCAGGAGAGTGAGCGAGTGCTTGAGAGCCACCTGACAGCCACCCCCCGCTGGCGAAGGACGCGGCTCTCCGTGCATTTTGTGACGGGGCGCCGGCAGCCCTCGGCTCTCCCCACACACCTCGAGGCGCTCGGAGCCTCGGGACAACGCCGCGGCGCCCCGTTCCCGAGCAGGGCTGACCCCCTGACCCCTCACCCCCGCGGTGCCCAGCAGGCCGCCCCCCACCCATGGCTGGGAAGGGAAGGGGGGAGCCGAGCCGAGCCCAACGGCTGTTACGCTGTCCGCCGTTAACGGCCGCCCGCGCGCGCTGCCCCTCACCTGCAGCAGGCGCCGTGCCGGGGGGGCCTCCATGGCGGCGCGAGCCAACTCCAGGCACACGTCAGCCCGCGGCTCCCCCCGCCCCGCCCCGCCCCCCCTCCGCCGCGTCATCGGCGCGCGCCGCGACTCACCTGCAGCAGCAGGCGGCGGGCAGCGGGCCCCGCCCCGCCCAGCGCGGCCCCTGAGGCGCCGCCGCCTCCGTCGCCGTCTCCGGGGGCTGCGGGAGGGAGAGGAGCGGAGCGTTAGGCACCGAGCCGCGCCTCCCGCCGCCCTGAGCTCGACTCCATAGATAACCCAAGAGCCGTTTAAAATTCGTTAGCTACCTTTACATCCAAATTTTCCCCTCAGCAGTTGCTCAAAAATGCTCGGCTAAGGCTGCGGTACCTCAGGTGCGCACACAGGCTGAGCAAGAAGCGCCTGAATTTTGTCTAAATGCTCAGCAAAGCACCATCAGAGGTGAACGCAGAACAGCAAGGCTGGGCTTAGCACAGAGAACGGTCACAGGTAATTTGATATCAAAACAGAGCTCGGGACGATGACAGTAACAGGATCCCTCCTTGGCACAAGGAGCGGTCAGCAGAGGTCAGCATGTTTGCTCCAGAGGGAGAGGGACTGATTTTAATTTTGTTCCCCTCAGCAGAACTGAGTCAAACCTTTCTCCTCCTCCAACAAACCCTTTAGCCAGAAATGACTAGGTGGCTTAAGTGAGGCTATAGTCCTGCTGGAAAAGTACTTTTGGCAGGGATATAGCCCAGAGTCAGAAGTCTGAAAGAACAAGATCATGATTCTACAGCCTAATGGCTGGATTGCCAGTCCACTCTGCAAGTGAGGAAACCTGGGCTTCCAGTCATTTCTGCTCTTATCTGCTACCACCCCGAGACACAGTATACCAGCCCTTGCATAGAGTTAGGATTACAGTGCTTACAAGAGAACGTTATTTTTCTCATTTCTATAGCACAAAAAGGTAGTAGAAAAATCTCTGCTGAGATGAGTGGCAGCTACACAATACTACCACTAGAGGGACTGTCACAGATTATTAAAATCTGTTAGGATTACAGCAACACAGAATGGAAATGTTAGTGAAAAATCTTGCTATTTGCCTGTAAGAGGAGCATGGCTGAATGGTTCTAAGAGCAACATAACAACCAGATTCGAAAAGGTTACCTGCAGCAGTATCTTCCCTGGCACTCTCTTCTGAATCAGTTGACCCAAACGAAGTATCAGCCAGTGGCAATCTTTCACTATTGTACACTTCTTTGGCTTCTGTATTATCCGAAAAGCTGGCTTCTTCAAGCTCAGGTGGAACATTAACACTTCTCTCATCCTCCTCTTCAGTACTCTGAACTGGCCTCTTATCTTCAAGCTGCTGAAATTTCTGATTGCTCTCATCAGCAGCATTTGGATTCCTGACAGCATCTGTGTCATATTCATCTTCTTTTGCATCACCTGTAACAGAAAGACACGAATTTAAGTATTGAACTGATGTGCATTTCTTACTCCCAGCAATCTCCAGTGAAATACTGCATTTGCAAAGCGATCTTGGCACTTTTTGACACTTCAACTTGTACTGCTTCAATATATTCTCAGTCAAGTTTTATTGGCATCTAATCAAATGTTCACATGGAATTTACAGAAGGTATCAACCACTGACCATGCAATGAGACATTTCCATTGTCTGTGATGTGACTTTATCAGAAATCACACACTGAATGTTTATTACCATGAAAGAAGTCTTGCTAAGAGCATGTCTTACTACCTTACACATTAATTAGAAAAAAAAAATAAATAGCAAGACTGTAGCAAACTCCAGCATGGGTTCTTCCCCTGCTAAAAGATCAGTTTGTTCAGTATTTCTACTCTTTTTTATGAACGTGGACCAAAATAAGACAATAGAGACATCTGAGATTTTTAGGTGCGTGGATTTAGTGCCTGAATGCTGCATTAGTCACTGCATTAGGGGCTAGCTAGTTCAGAAAAAAAGACTCCTCTAAGTATCCTAGAACATTCAGCACTTCACTGTATGCATATCCACATTTCTTGAAAGGGGAGCTGGATGTCTCCTCCCAGCTGTATTCACCCTCTGATCCCCCTTTCTTACATAGAATCTGGTCCATAAAAACAAACATAGCGAGCACAATCTCTCGCAGGATTTCCCACCCAGCACAATGGCAAAAATATTCATTAAAAAGAAATATAATGCCAGCAGATTCTGCAGGGTTTTTTCCAATTCTGCTCCCTCACCCTCCTCTTAAAGCTTCTCTAGGTTACATAGCATTGGCTGGGATATGGTTTTACTACATCTATTGACTGGTTTGGGGTTTAATGATTTATTGATCTTGTTTGATTGGTTTTTTGCTGTGCAAGTGAAAAACACAAAGCTTTCCTGAAATCTACATAGAATGGCCATCATACATGCATTTAAACATCCTACCTTGAGCATTCAGCTGATCATCCTCCTGTTCGAGAAAAGATGCCAGTGGGACACTCTCACTTGCAGACGAATATTTACTTCTTAAAGAATATATTAATTCCTGAATATCATCCATCAGTGCACTCTCTTCATCATACAAATCCATCTCTTTCACCACCTCCTCTTTATTTTCTGCTACCCTGGAATCCAGAACTTTCCCTACCACATCCATAATGTTTGATTCTGAAAACTCAAGTATCTGGTCCAAAGCTTTTTCTATGTCTTCATTATTATTGCTTGCCTTCCGAGCAAGCTCCATCTCTACCTTCATGTCGTGAAACATGGCTTCTATCTTAATCACGTGTTGGAGCCCCAGATACTTGTATAGACGCATTACACGCTTTTCATCAAGGAAACCTCTAATGATTGTGAGCCGCTTCACAGACTCACTGTATTCTGTCACCGTGTCATTTTTGGCTGCTGAAATGTCAGCAGGGCTGGGGAAACGTGCAGACTGCTGGTGGTCATTTCCTGTATCCGTTATATTTTGCTTCTCTTTTGAGCCTCTCTGTGGAATGTCCTCGGGGACATGATCTTTCCTTTGGTGAAAGTCACTGCTGTCCTCCATGTCAGAAGATTTGAAATTATATTCTTCCACAGATGATGGTTCCTCAGCTTCAGAAGACTCCTCATCATCTTCTGCAGTATGTTCCATCTCATCCAGTTCAGCATCTTCATTCGCTGGTACATCAAACTCTTTGTTTCCAGTCTTGTGTTCATCTTGCATGCTTATTATTTTTTTAGCCTCCTCAGAAAACGAGTTCGTTTCCTCTCCTGTTTCATAAGTAGGATCTGCAGTTACTGAAAAAGCTTCACTTGGTACTTTTAATTCAGGGTTTCTTCTTTCAATATCTAGTGTATTACCCTGTACATTTGCAACCCTTGCATGCAACAGCTTTGCACTTGCAGCATTCTCATCTTCCAGTAGTTCTTCTTCCATTTGTTTCAAGTCAGCGTCATCTTCAGCATCTGTCTCTCCAGGTTGCAATTCTGGCCTTAGGGTTTTTTCGCTAGCTAAATTTGTGCCAAGATCTTTGTTTGAATCTTCATCTTCAGTATGAGCAGTTCCTTGCTGGGTAAAATTTGCTCTATTAGTATTCTGTGCAGTACTTCTTGATTTTTCTTCAGGGGAACTTTTTTCAATGCTTTTTTCAAATCCTGTCATCTTGCCAAGATTTCCTGAAAGCTCTTCTTTCACATCTGCCTCTGAATACTCAGTTTCATTTTCCCATGGCCTAGGTTGCTCAGCAGCTCCCCTATGGCTTGGGTCTCCCTCACCTGCAGGGGTTTCTTTCATGTTTCTCCCTTTTATTTCAGGTTCTTCTTTAAAAGAGGCAGGTTTTTGATTTTCATGCTCAGCCTCCCCTTTTTGTTTTGAATCTTCTTCATGTCTTAGAATTTCTTTCTCCACAGAAGGCATTCCATGCTCCAGTTTGGCTTTTAAAAGCTTTGTATCTCCTGTGTCACTTTGAGATCCATTTTGTACCTCTTCCACTGGTTTGGTTGGAACATCAGCAGAAGGCTTATACTGATCTCTTCCTTTCTCCTTCATTTTCTCCCATAACTTTTTGTGCTTTAAGTCACTTTCAGAGATCTCTTCCAAGGTGTCGTCCTCAAACTTTTTCTCCTCTTTCTCTATTTCAGCAAGTGGCACTCTTTCTGGACTTTTGTTCACATCACCAGCAGGTAGACCTAAAGCATCTTGCTTGCTTTCAACAGAGGGTTTGGTCTTCAAACCATCTCGTGGACTGGGTAAAGCATGAGGATCAGGCACAGTTGTACTTTTCAGCTCTTCAGTATGCAACACCATTTCATCAGCCATAAGCGGCTCTTCAAGCTCTTCGGTTTTGTTTGCTTTTTCTTCTGAACCTGGATCTCTTGCATCGGTTTTGTTTGCTTTTTCTTCTGAACCTGGATCTCTTGCACCTATAGGTTCATTTCGAAGGAGCTCTTTGGAGAAATCCTCAAGTTGAGCTGTTGGTGCTTCTCTCTTGCTAATTAGCATCACCTCATCCTGTTTCTCCTTTGTTTGCTCAGATTCAAACCTGTCCACATTCATACTGTCACCTGACTTAGTGAAGGCATCCTTAATTAATGCATCTGAATCAAGTTCTTCCTCATCATCTCTTTGGTTATTTAGCTCCATAGCACCTTCATTTTCGTCAAATTCATGATTTTTTGACTCAAAGCTGTTGTTTTCATCAGCATCTGAATCCCCTAGGGATTCCTCCTCTTCTGCCATAAATGACAGCAAAGGGATTTCTTCAGATGGATCCACAAAGTCTGACTCCTTGTCTGAATCGTGAGCATTAATGCTCAAGTCTTCATTAAAATCATCTTCCGATGATGTAACAAGGCGAGTCACTTCATCATCTGATACAACAGCATCAGCAGTTGAGCCAAATTTTGTTTTCAAGTTTATAGAGAGCTCTCTGTCTAAAAGTGTATAGGCATCAACTTCTTTGCTCTCTTTGTCAAGTTGACTGGTTTCACCCTGAGCAGTACTAGTGTTTTTGGTATTTTCACTTTCTAGCCCTTTTAGTCTCTCATTTAGTGTTCCTTGCAAGTGCTCATGTGCAGTTTGATCTCCCTGAGAGTTTTCTTCATGACTACTGGCACTGGAGTCTACCCTAGTACCTTCAGTTCCTTCTATAAGAAAACTATCTACTTCCTCTGTCATGGTGAGGGCTTCCTTGTCTTTCTCTATGCTTAGTTCAACATTGTCTGCCTCCAAAGCATCAAGGGACTGTACTGTATCAGCCTTTTCAACCTCCTCCTCCCCTTCAGTTCCTTCAGCTGCTTTTGTCCTTGGATCGCTTGATTCAGTTTCCCTCTCATTTGCTATTGTCTCTTTTGATGACTTCAGAAGTTCATCCACATTATAATTATCAAAATCATCCCTTCCGCCATCAAAGCAAACAAAGTCTGTTTCCTGAAATGAAAAATAAGATCTAGTCAATTTCTATTTTCTACAGTGTGGAGATCCAATCCATTTGGTTGACTGCAGAGATGCAGCAGCAAAGCAAATGTTAAATGTTATTAATCATGCAGAATCCTTAATCCTCAGAATTCCTTTTCAAAGCAGTTGAAATTTTGCCCAAGGACTCGTAAAAACCTTAATAAAAAGTTCATGCCTTAACCCCGTCAAAGACCTCATAGCGAGGAACAAAATGGAAGCCAGCAATGGACTTGACAGTATTGTAATTTACTCTTCATCTATGTCCTGAATTAAAACCAATTCTATTGATGAATGCAAATAACAAGAAGAAAATGCCACTAAGCTTCTTTGTCCAAGGCTTTATTAGCTGGTATATCCTCAGATGACTAAGCCCTCCAAGCAGGAGCTGCCTGTCACACAGTTTCTGAAAAAGAAATTAAAAAGTCGTGCAAACCACTGAATACAATTTCACAAGGGTCTGAAGCTGCATCCATGCAGTTCCAGAGTTACTAGCTATTAATACACAAGAGCCATTTGTGTAAGGGTTAAAGGATCAATTCTAAAATCAAAGGGCCAGCATTGCAAGTTTTGTTTGTTTCTGATAATACTTTAAACTTCTAAAGTTTGAAAACAATTCTGTATACCAAACAACTTACGTGTGAGCCAGTTAGCAGTGTTTCCAGAGCTCAATCCAAACAGATTTTGTTGGATCAAAAATGAACTTTTCAAGAAAAGAAACATCAGTGCCCACATTTTGGTAATCACACATCCATCCACATACATACCTGTGACAAACATTTTGCCACCCAACATGTATGTGCACATATGTAGCTGCTTACCAACAACAGATAACTAAGGATTAGCTGGTATCTCCATTCTTTTTCTCAGCGATTTTATTGAATGATGAGGAAACGGTAACATCCCAATTAACAAAATAATAAAAAAATAAAACTTACATCTGTTGGTAACTCTAGCTCCTCATTGGTATAATTATGATTTACTTCAAGTAGATCCTTTGGAAAATATCCAAAATCACTTCCAACCTGCCAGAAAATAAGCAAGCAAACAAAAAGCAGTAAGGAAGTTTCTGAAATCATATGACTTAAAATACTTATTACAGACACTAGTCACAAACACGTCAGACTCACTCTCAAGTATTTCTAGATGGAGTTTAACACAGTAAGTAGAAGAAAAAGATTAGCAATACCTTGTTTCTACAAGAGTTTTCATTGAGGTTGTATACCTACATTGCACAGTACTTTTGTGAAGTTGCTAAGTTTAATCATTTGTGCTTCCAAGACTGACATCATTATTAGCAGAATTGGGAGTAGAAGCCCGAGCACTCTGGCTCACATGTGCCTTAACTGCTATTCTGTGCTCGCATTACTGCCATATTTGCCTTGAGTATTTTCTCAAGCAGTAAGTAGAGGAGGGTCTTTGACTAACAAGCCTTACATTCGTGCACAACATTACATGATTGTAAATAAATTTATATTGTAGTTCAAGGAAAAAACTATATTTCTTAAAGCAGATTTTAAGAAAATTAAAAATTGTCCCTGAGGTAACATAATAATACATTTAGAAAACTGGGTGGAAAGTATATATCCCCACCTGTCAATGCATCATTGATGTGCAGTGAGCAATATAACAACAATTAGTTACAGATGGCTATTTGAACGAGAGGCAGGATGCTACGCCAAGGCAAACAGTGGAAGACACGAATCTCCCTTATCACTCACTGGTAAGACACACAGTAATGCTCACTTGAGAGTTCTGACAGCTGCTGTCAAGAAGCCAATATTAACAGCATGCTATCGCTACACAGATTAGATAATCCAGGCAATTAGAGCCTGGTGGACACACCCAGAAAGGTGCAGCATTCCTAGAGCACCAAAATATCTGGAAGAAAAAAAAAATTTGGTCATTTCCTCAATTTTTGTTATTGAAGGAGGAAAACAATTGCCAATTTGCTTGCTAAGCAAACAAAGTAAGTACAGGTACACTATGGGATTTCCTTTATTAACTATTCCTCATTCTTAACCTACAATCCATAGTTAAGACCCCTGAAGATTGTTAGAGAAGAGGTTAAAAAAATCTACTACATCCCCAATCACACACACTTACTTTGTGAACACACATTAGAGAGACAACTGATTACACTCTTAAGGAAGAGAGATCGTGTATGCAGGTTTTAATAGAACAAACCTATTATTGTGAATTGGAATTAAACTAAACAAGTCAAATTAAAACCTTGTCTTTGTGCTGAATACCACAGTTTTATTTTAAATTGACATATTTCTCTCTACAAACACGTACTCCAGTTTTAAACGATCTTTCTTGAAAACAAAAGCTGAAGCTTCAAAGTAGCCTCCTTACAGACTAATATCCATGACTACCATTATAATTAGGCATCACAATTTGGAACTCATTTAGTATAACCCTAGCTGCTGACCATACAAGTCCTCTGCAATGACCCAGTTTGCCACTTATGTGGTTTATGAGCAATACATGATCTGCATGCCCAAAATTTTGTTTATTTCCCTACAAGTCCAGTCTTGTGAGAGAAAAAAAATATGCCCCACTGTGCAAATAAAGGAAACATTCCTTATTCTATACAGATATGATAGAGGAAAGGCATTATGAATGCCAAGTCAATGAGGGAGAAAAAGATGCATCCTTCACACCACTCCAAAAACAGTTTCACTCCCTTCCCAGACAAATTGTCCTGGTGGGACAAAACCACGAGGCTGTGTACACAGCATCTATCCCCACCAATGCCCACATGCGACAGCCAGCTGTGGCAGTTTCATCAAACACTGCTGGCTAAGAAGCCAGACCCTTACACCACCTACCTCCATGAGAGAACAGACACAAACACCATAGGTACCTAAAACTGCCAAAACACTGATTAAAGGAGAGAGACAATTTGGTCTGCCCTTTCTGAATGCTGGCATTGTTAAGAAAACACAGAGACAATGGGAACAGCTTTCCTGATCCTCTGGATCCTCCAGACATACTCTGCCTTCCTGTCTTATCCAAAATTTACCTTTCTTCTTTTCTATTACCCCACATATAAGAACAGGGAGGAAGTGTGATCTGCAGCCAAATCCATTTCTTGTAACATGAGGCCAGAAATAGTTTTCTCAACCTTGAATTAAAGTAATAAACCTCAGCCCTTTGCTGTACGATTAAATAACAATCTTCTGCAGCAAGAATTTAGAGCTTCTTTGATGAAATGTTTTGATAAAAAGGAGTGGTTTTAACTTGAATTATCTATGCCGTTTTGGAGCTCTGGACCCTACTAAAGATGAAGGCAGAATGCAGGCAAACTGCATAAGAGGAAAATCTACATTGCAAAACTTGACATTGTAAACAATGTGAGGTGGATGCTAAAGAAGAGGCTACTTGTACAGTAGAACATGATGCACTGGACAATGACAGTACCAGATACGCCCTGCCTTTTGGGAAAAAAAAAGAAAGAAAAAAGCATTTTCTTAGGACTGAGCTACTCATGAAATTCACGACATAAAATCACTGTTAAATAATGTTCATAGAATTCTCCTAGTGTTTGGCTTTGTGGTATTAATGAGGTTTAAGCAGGTCTGCTAAAAACTGTATGCCAGGTCATGTACAGAATATGTATTACAGCTGGGTGCCAGAAGCTTTCCGTGTGCAAAATACTGAGCTCAACAGGAATTCTGCAAGCAATGAAGTATGACCCAAGTCTTGTATAAAGGCTCTGTTTTGTTATAATACAGTATGTTTACTGACACTGTGCAAAAATCAACAGTAGCTTGAAAAGGGTGGAGTAAACTCGATAAGCAAAGAAAATAAAGCCCAAACCCAACTGGTATAGATTTTTCAGCTTTGGTGAATCTTTCCTTAACAGATCATTTCCCTTCTGGTCAGAAATACTATTGTAATTTTCATGGCTCCTCAAAATCAATTCCAGGATTAGAGCCTGTATTTATAACTCTTTTGAAATAAACCCCAGGTTGCAGTAGGTCAGACTTCTCATACAGACGTTCTCCTGATCTCTGTCCCCATCTGAAGGTCAAAAAGTCAAAGCTGTCCCCTGAATTCATAGCTTATAACAGGCCCTCATAAATAATTTCCCCCAGAACTTCATCAAATGGAAGGAGTCAGTAGGGTAGACACATGGGATCAAATAACGCACATGGGCACAAAGTCACGGGACAAGATACCAAAAGGGCTGTAGCAGAAGGTAACGTGCCTTCCACTGGACTATGTTTGAACGCAGAGCTCACCAGGTAGCTTGTTTTTAATTAGCCAGCAGCACACAACAGGCACGGGTTGCCTGCATAAATCAAGCTGGCCAGCCGAACCTGGCATAGGAAGTCACAAAGCCTGAGAGAGACCGCAGCACTGTTTGCAAGTAGGGTCAATGGCCTGTTCACACAGTCCCCTACTGAACGTGCAAGGATCTCTGGCACCTCTTACCACTCCACAGCATTTACAAACTAGTTTCAGTATTACCAGCTGTGTAAAAGCAGTCAGTAAAACCAGGGAAATGAGGAAAAAAAGACCACAGCAACCGACTGAATGGAATTAGCCTAATATCACTGTCCTGTAAGAAACAGAAAACTATGTGACACAATAAAAAATACAACAAACAAGTCGGAGTTTCACAATTCTTTTAGATGTGCCAACTTCAGTTTTTACTTGTTAAACTCAAAGCAAAAATCCTTTTAACTTGGAGACACACCTAACTGTTGCATGAGCTTCCTATCGGTGAACACGGTTAAACTGCAAATTAACTCAGCAATTACCTTAAACGTGTTGTCTGATCTTAGAGCCTGTGCTACATCTCGTTAGTAAAAGATGCAAAATTGGCCCCATGCTACTAATACTCATCTCAAGAACTGGCAGGCCTGGAAACCTGTAACATCTAATTAACCAGATTATTTATGGTACAGTACATGTCAGAAGGGAATTAACAGCACCATACAATTATAAATCCTTCTTCTTTAACCACTGCTGCAGTTTTCTGTTCTCTCCTGTATTGTTCTAATTGGATTCAGCTCCTGCTGAGAGCCTGGCTGTCCACACCCTGCTTGAACAGGTTAGAGAAAGTGATACATCCTGCTTTCCACTAAATCACTGGGCCCACAGCAAACACCCAGCTGTGGCTTTCAACCAGTCTAGACCACTGTCACAGCCAACTGCCTTCCTTTGGTAGCAGGCCAGAGTAAGAAACGAGATTGAAATAAACACTTCGGACACACAAAGAAGGTGTGTGGGGAAGCAAGGGAAGGGGACTAAACAACCGCCACAATTTTCAGGGGAAGCCCACAAAACCATCTCTTCCTTTAGGGTTTCTCAGTTCTGCTTCTGTCAGGCAAGTAAGTTGTATATCATGAAAGCCGAGATAAATTCTGTTTTGTTGTTTTTTGTTTGTTTGTTTTTAATAAATAGAACTGCAAGTTCACATCTAAAGAAGGGCTTGCTACAGGGATACTCCTTTCCTATTAACGTCACTCTCTCAGATCGCCAAAAGAAAATGACAGCCTAGATACAGTCGCTATTCTGCAAGCTGCTACAATGAGTTACTAAAGCTGAAAGACATAGACCTTTTAAAATACAATTTGCCTTAATTCTTTTTAGTTGTGTTACTTTTTCTTCCTTCAATTCTGCATGCAGCTTAGACAAAAAGGACAAGACGGCAGCTGAACATTAGGAAGAGATGTAATTAAAACACGTATGTGGAACAATCTAGCAAGATCCCACAGAGGGCAGGATGAGACCACGTCATGGGTAAATACAAGCGCAGGTTTAAGTCTCCCTAGATGGGATGGGAAGCTTAGCTTCTAGGTAGCGCAGGGGTCACCACTTAAAGTGATGCAAAGTATGGTTTTCTACACAAGGGAAGCTTTCTAAAAGAAACACACTGTTTTTATCCCGTATTAGCATACCCATTTTCCCAAAGATCTTAGTACCTCGAGTTTAATGCAACTCCATCCAATTTTACATTGGTCTCAAGACAAAATGGCATTCCTTATGCTATTTCTCTGTGTTAAAAGCCCCACTCCTTCTTGTAATTTTTTCTTCTGTTTACTTTGTACAAAAAGAAAGTGCCAAGAAGAGCAAAGAGAACAAAAGCTTTGCAGTACTTACACTTCCAGCCCAAAGCTCCGTAGATTTTCCTATTAGTTTGTAGTATACATACACCGCTTCTCCTTTCTTAAAATTTACAAAGCGGCAGTCGGGACCTTTAAAATCCTTCATTGCCTTCCCTCGGCACATTAGCACTGTAGGGAGAAAACGAAAAGCAGAGTTAGTGTTGGCAGCGCAATAAGGCAGCCTGATGGGAACGCACCGAAAACGAGGCCTCCCTGCATTCACAGGGGGCAACTCTCAGGTCAGGAGCGGAGGATGTGATTGAGGGAGTAAGATGGGAGGTTAGAGAGAAATAAACTCGATGGAGTGCGTGATAAAGCACTCGAGGATTACTCGAGAAGCACGCTACAGGGCTAAGCGTTAACGTTAAATAAGATGTGCTGGGACCTGTTTCACGGCAGAGCAGCCCTCCTATCACCCCAAGCACAAAAAGCACCCACGGAGGGCACTTGTGACAAGAGCGGGGGAACCAGGAGCCCAGCCGGGTGGGTGCCGCTGGCGAGCGCCCAGCTGCGGGCAGGGGATCGCTGGGGATCGCTGGGGATCCCCTCCCCAGCACCGCTCCCCCGGCACCCCCCGGGCCCCTCTCCCTGTCCCCCCGCCGCCCCCTTCCCCTCGTTAAGCCCCCTGCGGGGCGGGCCGGGCTCGGAGGCCCGCGGGCGGCCGCCGCCACTCACTGCTGCACTCGGGGTCCGCGCAGCGCTTGCGCTCGGCGAAGCGGCGGCCCAGCTCGGGCCCGGCGGCGGCGCAGAGCAGCGGCGGCGGCAGGGGCTGCAGCAGCAGCAGCAGCAGGGCGAGGAGCAGCCGGGGGTCCGGCGGCGGCGGCGCTGCGGCCATGTTGGCGGTGGCCGGCGGCAGGGAGGGAGCAGACACGTCAGCAGCGCCGGCGGGAGGGCGATGTGGCGGGGGAGGGCCCGCCGCGGACCCTCCCTCCTCCATCCGCCCGCCGCCGCCGAGACGGGGCCCCGGCACCTTCCCCGCCCCTGCTGGGGGCTGCCCCGGAGCCTCTGCACGGGGCTGGGAGGCCGTGAGGGGACCCCAGCGGGACCCCAACGGGACCCCAACGGCCGCCGCCGCTGGTGAGGAGCCCTCGCCGGGCCAGCCTGCCAGCCCCCGCCAGCTGTCCCGGCGAAGAAAGTGCATGCAAATACAGTGGTGAGGGCGAAAGTGCCCCAAACATCGCACCCTGCACCGGCCCGGCCTTCCGCGGCCTCGGTCTCCGCTTGCTGCCCCGTTTTAGTCGTGATTGCTTGCAAGGCAAAAGTGTGCTGCTCACGCTTACAGCTTTCTGTTAGCTCCTCGTTGCATCTAGTACGTTTATGTTGTTTTAGAGAGGCTTTCTGCTGCTAAAATGGCAGAGCAGCAGAAGTCACAACAGTCACGGACAGAAGGGAAATTAAGAAAGCACCTTCTCCACCTTTGTTTTCAGACCCGTATCATTCATTCATCGCAGACTGGGCAAAGGGCATAAAAGCCAGCCGGGAAGGGATAGGTATGATCAGAGAGTTTTATTGATGGCTTATCAAATGGCGGGGGAGGAAACAAACAAACAAAAACAAACACACGAACAAAACAAAACAACAAAAACAAACACACTTTCCAAAGGGCAAATGCTGAAGCTGCTCCAAAAATGAACAGGTGTTTGGCAGAACTGATGCCAAGGTGAAGGACTCTGCTTTTTCGTGCATGTCAAAGAGCAACTCCGGACAACTAAGTTGGCTTTCCTTGTTTTTAAGAACCTCTTCTAATGATATATCCGCAAGCACACTTAATATTAGCTATCGGGGATTTGTTCTGCAACTGCTAAAGAAGCAGTTGATTGTACTGCTGCACTTATTGCCAGCTCCCATCACAAGAGTTTGCAATCACCACTGCTAATTGCATTAGAGATACCGCTCATGTTTTTACCGTATCATCACAATTATTGATTTTTAGTTTACACACACTTATTTCTACAGCCTCACCAAATGGGATCTGAGATCTAAGCTGAGTTGGATGATACTTAGCTACATGATGCTAGGCTTAGTTAGATGATGCTACATCATCTCTGAGAAAAATATAACCATTCTATTTTCACCCTCCACCTACAGCAATTTAGTATTTTAATCACCTTATAAAAAAGCTTTGGAATTGTGTTTGACATTTTTGTTGACATTTTTGAAATTTGAATTGTGTTTGAAATTTTTGTAGTTCACATTCTGTAAAAGAGATGGTACCTACTTGTCATTGCTAGTACTGCCTGATGAAAGCTCTAGGAAAGCCTAACTTGTGAAGCTTAGATTTCAGTTTTATCACAACTTGCAAACAGCCTGAGTTGTTAGCTGTACTTCTCTTGAAAAATACCTCATAAGAATGCTTAACTCCTAACATAACCATAGAAATACAAACACAAGCTGTACCAAAGAACAATGGAGTAAAAACATAACAAAATTATAAGATTGTAAAACACTACTGTATATGGAATAAGTATATTCAAGTTACGTTTTATAACAACCAGATGAATGAAAGACGAGTGATTTTTCCCTTGATATTATTATTATTATTATTTCTTGACGTAATTTCCAGCCTGGTCATTTGGTCCACTTGCTTGTGAAGGCAGAGCTGTTGGATAATTAGGTGTCAGTAAAGGTTATCAAGCTTATCTTTAGTAAAAGACCAAGATAAAGGTAACGGTGTCTGTAGTCATAAAGACAAGGGCAAGAAAGGGAGATGTGAAAAGAAACAAGATCACATACTTCTTGCATAAGTCATTGCCTTTATTGTGCAATAATTGGTAGCTTGCAGTCAGTATGTATACATGAGTCTAATCACTGCAACCATGTAGCATTTCCTACAACTTCAAGTATTTCATAGTAACAAGGTACCCACAGCTTTCCCCAATGCATGATGTAAAAGAGAAATATTTCTCTTCATTTTAGGTATTTCAGGCAAAATTTGCTTCAGCCTTCAACCCCAACATTGGAAACGCATGTATTCCAGTACAAGTGTTCCGTTAACTATGGGGAATGTAAAGGTTTGTGTGTGTCTACATTTGCAAAGCAATTTTCCTGCACAAAGGTATCTATCAAACTAATAACTAATATTTATTGACAAGATCCATTGGCAGTGTTCACATAACAATCAGCAAAGTCTCATGAGTGGCAAAAGAAGATAAAAATTAGCAAGCCAAATGTAAACATGCTTCTACACACATCTGAGAAATGAATTGTGGGCAAGCTGGATAGTGAAATTAGCGTAGTAGTATAAGGTGAATTAATGCAGTGTAATGTAATAGGATGTGATGCCACACTTTGATACACCAGTGATCAGTGAGACACGGATAGGAAGGGCAAATTGTGAAGGATAGACAAAGAAGATGACACTGGTTAAGAAGTTGTGCTACAGAACAAAGACAGTTTATGGTCAAGTTAGCTATCAACAAATAAAACAGAATATTTATGAACTGAAATTGTTGTCAAAAACAGGAAGAACACAGCTTTAAGAAAAATAGCAGTAAAGGGACACATCTGCGGCCTCCCTCTGATTTATTAAACGTCATATTAAGGTACGATACTGAGGTTAAATCTTTAGACACCACAGACGGCTGCTCTGCCTGGTATTTTTCCTCTTGCCATCTGTTACTGATTACAGCTGAACCAGGATGCTGGGTGAGGCGAACCTTTAACCTGAGCCAGCTTGCTGTGTACTTTATTATTTACTCATCCTCACGTGGCTGAGTTTTAGGGGAGGGAAGGAGGGCGGAGGTGGGCACGGGGGCTGGACGGACTCGCTTGTAAAACCAAACGCGGATCTGAACGCCCCATGTTTTGGGATATCACAGGTTTAGGATACCCCACGCGTGGGGTGCCCCAGCACACGGCCGGTTACCGGCAGCCATTTCACTACGCAGGCGCCCGGGGCGGTCTCATCATGGCGGTGACGCCGCCGCCTTCAGGGCGCATGCGGCACCTCGGCGGGTTATGCCGGTGCCCTACACGCTCTGGGAGCCGAGAGCTGCTCGCGATGGCGCGGTGGCTGTGACAACGAGCCCTGAGGGCTGTACCTCTGCAGCAGCTGGGCTTGGCTGGGCCGGCTAGGACGAGCCGTGGCCAGTAGCCGGGGTCAGTGCCGCCCCTCCCCTGCCAGGGTCAAAGATGGCGGCCGCCCAGGGGCTCTGCCCGTTGTAGCCGGCGCCATGGACGGCTTGGTGGCTGAGGCGGGCAGCGCCCTGCTGCCGGCCCTGCACCTGCCCTGCCTGCCGCAGCACTTCTACCGAGCCGGTAAGGGCCGGGACGGAACGGGCCGGCCTCCGCCGCCTCCTGTTCTCCCGCTGTGTGCTGTCGCAGCCCCCCGACCTCCTTCCCTGGGGCGCTGCGGGTCTGTGCAGCCTCCGTGCTGCTGCTGGCACACCCCGCTGGCGGCCTCTGAGCCACGGGTGTTCCTTATGGGTTCTGTTTTCAAAGGATTTAAAACCCGTCAAGTTAGAAATATGCATGAAGACCACACCATACAATACTGTAGGTTAATTAGAGGTAGTTCTGTAGAATGCGCTGTATTAAAAGTGCTGTGAGCCAGTACTGGAGTTACTCCTTCTCCTACAGCATTCAGGTAGGGGGTGGGTTTGATGAAGAAGGCTCCTGTGGCATGGGTTTTGGTGTGGGGGTGTGTTGGACTGTAGTGTGCAGCTATCACACAGCTGTAAGCTCGAAACAAATGTGGGAACAAGAATTCAGTTTTGTGCCATAACAGAATTTGAAGCAGTGTCCATGTAAACAGAGTAAGTGGCCTCCTTCCACGCTCGTGCTTCAGAGAATAATTCTCTAAGTGTATTTGTGTTTATAGCGGGGATTATTTAACTGTTAGTTCTGGAACGGCCTGTTTGCATGTGTGTGTATGAATCATCAGTGTGCTGGAGCCTTAAGCTCAGCTGACAATAAATTACTGAAGAGAGAGGTCCCCAAAATATAGCAAAACATACTGTGAAGTTATCAAAGCACTGTGGCCTTCTAAGTCTGGTGGGGCAATAATATGTGATGTTGGTGCTTTGCTGTTTTAAGTGCCTTCAGTTGCATTCTGTGTGCGGAATAAATCATTTCATATTTCTAGCTGTTGCCATCTTTACTACTGCAGAAAATAGGTGTGTTTAACATCAAGACTATGTAGCTTAAGATGACTCTATGTAGTGTCTGAGAGAGATCATATAAGAGAGCTAAAATAGCAGGTATGTTATCTGAGTAAAAAGTAATAGTGGGTTTGGTTCACTTTGTTTGTGTTTTGACTTGTTTAGCATCTTCCCACGAACACAAATCAAGCTTCAAGAAGAGCAAGGAAGTATGTTTAAGTTACATTCAGGATGCCATATTACAGAAGCAGTGGAAAAGAGCTGCAGAGTTTCTAACCTTCTACATTGAGTCAATAGAGAAAGACTATTCCGTAGAATACATGGGTCCCTCAGAGGTAAGTCCGTGTCCCTTATCAGAGGTTTTTTTGCAGTTGAGAAAAAATACTTGCAAGAAGCATTTGTCATCTTCAGACCACCATTTGTCTTAGCAAGCTAATCATAAGTTTATTAAAAAGTGGTAAGAGCTGAAAACTTAGAAAATGTTCATAAATTAAATTAGTCCCTTATTAAATTAGTTTTCAAATGGCATGCCATCAATCAGAATCTATTTGAAAGTTAGTGGCTCATTGACGCCTCTGCTAGCTTTTCCAGTGCTTTCAAAACTCAACCAGGTATTGGGATAGAAGCAGGAGGAAGGGGATCAAGCAGAGTTGATAAATAAACTAATTTGATTTGTTTATGTTTTGTATGCAGACCTTGAAAACAAATGCATGTAGGTGGGAAAGCTACATCTGATTGGAAATGATCTGTATTGATAAGTCTGAAGAGCTGTGTACCTTACATCT